ATTACGAAAAAATAGACCTTAAGTGTAAGGATTATAAGGCCATGCTAGCAAGCTACCATGGGAATATACGTTTTAGGTTTTAAGGTTCTTGAGGAAGAAAAGGGCAAATTATTGTGTGATGTGTGGACTACAGTCTAAATGTTGTCATTTTGATGTTAAAAAAAAAAAAAAAATCTTATTTCGTTCACATGTTAGAATAATGAATATTTTGGGATAAGATAATGTATTTTATAAGTTAGAATAATATACTTTGTGTTAGAATAATGTATTTTATGTGTTAGAATAATGAAAATTTTAGGGTAAAATAATGTACTTTATGAGTTAGAATAATGTATAATGTACTTTGTGTTAGAATAATGAAATTTTTGGAGTCAGATAATATATTTTATGAGTTAGAATAATGCACTTTATGTGTTTTTGGACGGTGGTCCACTACGCTGTATCTTAGAAAAGCATATCTAAAAACTCCAGAATGATCAATAGAAGTGACTCTTCTTGAGGGAAGATCACAAGATCGAACCCCGGTGGTAGGTTATTAACTATTTGGTTTGCAATAGTTAGAGAAAGTATAGAACAGGTACTACATTGTAATCTAGGTATTCCGAATATAATAACATGAAATACTAGCATATTATTGGTGAGCACACATATCTACATATGCAATGTAGCGGACAAATCCAAGGTGTGATGAATCACATATTAGAGGTTGTTTCTCTGATCTCCTCCAAAGAAATAGTCTGCACAGCAAGTCAAGGCACTCAACACTAATATTCCAGCCAGGCAATGCACAATTGAAATATATTTCATCAATGAATATATGTATATGCTACCTGTTCTTCTCCAGCAAAATCATTATCAGAGGTGAGAAAAAGCATGCAGTGGCACTCCTTCCTGTTAAACCAAGCTTATACTCAGTCTTCCACACATACATGGCATTAAACAAGGCACAATACAATATACCTCTCTCTCATTGGTACACAAGGACAATTCCAGAAGCCCTGCTCAGCTTCTGCATTTTTATCATCATAGTGCCTGAAATGCGGATAACATCATTATAAGAATGATCACCTTAGAATGTACTTAGAAAAGCTCCACAAGGCCAATGACCTTGTGGTCAGTGTCATGAAGTGACTATCCCAAATGGGAGGTCATGGGTTCGAGCCTTAGTGGGGGTAGTATTGACTTTTTGTGCTTCAGTAGGTTGAGAAAGTAGCTATGGACACATACTACATTGTAATAGAGTCAGTTGTACTCCAAAAAAAAAAAAAAAAAAAAGACAAGGTCCACAAGGAATAAAAAGTTCCAGATCTATGGGTGTTTACCTGCAGGGGCAGAGAGGTGCACCCAATGTATCCCTGTGTTCTGCCAATCCCTGTTGATATTTCAGATGTTTTATCAATCTTGAGTTATGATACATCACACAGACACACAAACTCTCAAACTGTGCTATGCTGTTTTTCATTCATTAATTTTGGTATGCAAAGATTTCGATTACACAATTGGCCCCATAGATAACAAAGTTCCAAGCTATCTGAATTTACAATTATTTCCCTACACAACATTTTTTGAGGTAAAAATCTTTTAAATATTTTGCTCTTAACAACTTCAGGAATATGGCAAACTACAGCTCAGGCAATGGAAAATTTCTTCCGAGTATACACTATAGTGAAGCAAAGCATTCAAGCAACACTGGAGAGACAGGATATGAAGGCCAATATCTACCTTGGTAAAGTAAAGAACACAGACTCATTGATTTAACATCTAATCATCAAGAAAGATTTCCAACACCAGGTGGCTAAGGGATTGTTGGGCGAAGATCTAAAGAGTCAAATCCAAAAACCTACCTCTAAAAAATGTGACGGTATAAGGAAACAAAGTTGCATCTTAGCTACGAGCTATAGCTTTTGAAGTAATTTGATCCTAACAAACTCACTATACAAACCAGCAACATATCCAAATTTATATAACGAAGATGCTGGATATGTTAAAGCAGTGGAAGTCTTCAGATTCAAAACACAGAAAACAAATAGAAGCATTTCGGAACATAAATCATTTCAATATATACAAAGATCACCTTGATAACAACTGCAGTAACCCCTTTATCCATACAGAAATATGTTCCCGACTTCCGAGCATACTGCTCCGAGAACTTCCTCATAATTTCAACAGATTTCTCAGATGGCTCAGCTACACAAGAAGAGAAATACAAGAGCATTCAAATTCCATTGAAAATTCTAACTCACTAATCCATATCTTCATTCCTAATACTCAGATTTAAAAAATAAAATAAAATAAAATAAAATAAAACATCGCAAAAGTATCGGATTGAACCTTACAGCTAAGGATACCATAACACCAGCTTTGAATTAATTGGCGCAAACAAAATTTCAACTCTTCAATTACATTCTGCCACAGCAGCCTTATTGCACAAAACTCACACTCAAAGCTAGGATTTCAATTCAGAATACAAGCATTGCGTATCAAAAACGAAAAAGCAAAAGAGAAGTGATAGAGTAGGTAGTACCACTGGCAAAGGTAACATGGCGGCGGTGAGTGGAAGAAGACGACCTAGTCGGAGGAGCAGAGAAGGTGGAGATGCCGAATCCGATGCTGTAGGAAGTGGAGGCACGAAGAGCGCTCATGGCGGCACTGATTAACACAAATCGAAGAGGATATTATGAGGTGTCAGTTCAGTATTCATACTCCATTTTCATAGGAGAAGAAAAGGAAAAATAATTTAAAAGGGTAGATGGCTAGCGCCAGTGCGCCACTCGTTGAGAGTTTGAGAAATGAAAAATGAAAAATAAAAAATAAAAATATCGGCGGAGAAAATCACAGAGCCACTCGAGTGTACCACGTACGCGTTTCTTTTTGGGTGGGCATTTTAGTTCGAGTTATTCGAATTGAACCGAAATCAAATCAAATCAAATGATTAGGTTTTGGTTTACTATTAAAATTAGAGTAAATAACTAAAATGGTCTCTCGACTATATTTAAATTTATAAATTAGTTTTCGACTTTCAATTTTAACCAATTAAGTTCTTAATTTTGTAATTATAACATAATTTAGTCCTCTGTCTATTTGACCGTTTGTTGACTGTGATTTTTGAGGATATATATGTAATTTCATGGTCCATCATCGGTTTTTTAAGGTTCCGGTTGCATTCCAGACCGCACTGTTACATTCGAATCCACTGCCGAAAGCAATCTACCAAATCCGGTCGCCTTTCTTCATCCTCCCTTTGGATTCAATGTAGTTGAGTTCGTACCAGAGCGAAGAAGACGACGTGTTTCCGAACCGGTGCAACGTCATCCTGGAGGTCTCCACGTGCTCCGACGAGAGTTAAAGGTTCTTCTGAAGATCGTCGATTACGGTCAACAAACGGTCAAATAGATGGAGGACCAAATCGTGTCAAAATTGCAAAGTTAAGGACTTAATTGGTTGAAATTGAAAGTTGAGGACCAATTTATGAATTTAGCTATAATCGAGGGACCATTTTGAGTATTTACTCTTAAAATTAAATTAGTTTTATATTTTATAAATCGAATGATTTTCGGTGTAATTAAAAACTGAATCCAACTGAAAAATTAAATGATTTTTTATATATATACATATTAAATAATTATATATTTTATTCATACCTAAATGCTTTTAAATTTATAAATTTATCTAAATGTATATATTAAATCTATAATTCTCTAATTCAAATTTTCACAATTGTCCTTTGTTCTCAATTTTTCTTTGCGAGTTTGTAACGTTGTTTTCGGATGGCGAACATAGGTGTCGGTTCGGTTTGAACTTATTTTTTTATTGAGAAATTTGAAATATGTATTATGGACTTATTGTTTAGATTTTCAAATTTAAATTATTAGTGAAAATAAATAAATAATTATGTGCGCAAGAGAACTAGCTAGGGAATGCTTGAGTTCTCAAACTGAATCAAAATCCAAATCAAACCAAATTCAAGCCGAAACCGAACTATTTCAAACCGAACGAAACCAAACCGAATGGTTTCATTTTTTCAAAACCGAAAACGCGAAACCAAATCGAACCGCCAAAAACCGAATTGAAAATCGAAACGCTCACCCCTATTTCTTTCATGTCATTTCGTCACGATAATTTTTTTCATGTCATTTTGCCATTGTCACATCAAGGAGATAGTTATTTCATATGCAAGTTAGATTTCAAATAAAGAATATTATTCCTCAACAAGTGGATAGTTATTTCTACTTAGAGGATTTCAAAGAAGCAAACTTGCATCATATATTATAAGATGGGTTCTGAATTTATATATATTGCATTGGTTTCGGCGTGCAAAAAAAGCTGAATAGTTTAAAATTTTAATTCTTAAAATTCTCACCATACGTCGCCTCCTCCTCCAGGAAGAAGGCGACCAGTCCCTTCTTCTTGGAAAAGGAGGGCGGCGTCCAACGGCACGCCGGCGACGGCAGTTTTCGGTGTACTTTATTTTTTTTTTTTTGAATTACGGTTGAAGATGGCAGTCAACGACAGTGATGGTGGTCAAAGATGATATAGTTATCGGTAATCTATTGGGTACCTGCTAAGTGGATCTATTTGATTGATTTTATGAAGTTTATGTGTTTAACTAATCTTCTTAAAAGTTTGAAGGTTTAATTACACTTTCCTATAATGTTTAGGGTTCTATTTGACCCTTTTCTCCAATCCAAATAATTTGTCAAATTCTTGTATCTCACAAGTTTTATTTGAGAACCATATTACTTGTACAAGGGTGATTAAAAACTTGTAAAAAAACATTTATGATACACGCCTAAAATTCAGCTGTTCAACTCGCAAAAGGGAATGACAAGCAGAAGGGATAAGGGAAACACAGTTGTTCAACAAGCATACATGTGTTTTCTCTTCTTCTTCTTGTATGTGCCTTTTTGACCTGTAACAGCTTCCATTCAGGTTTTGCAGTTGGCTCAGCGGAGAAAGCCTTGTGCATCATCTTTGAAGTGATCCACTCTAAATGCTGGTTCAATAAATCCAAAACCTATTTCTTGCTCACAATAACATAATAATGTTAGACATAAATTTGAGATAAATATCCCTCCATCTGCACCTCTCTAAGAAGATTATCTAAAACAAAATATATGTGAGTAGATTGTTGGTGACTCTTGTCTGCAGCAACAAATATATGTGTGGTGTTGTTAACTTCAATCCAGCTATACCCAGGTATTTTCTGCACTCCTCTTTCCTTCATCAAACTTCTTATTTTTGAAGCTCTCTCCCATTCTCCACTGTCAGCCTGTAGATTTGATAGTAGAACATAGTAGCCTGAATTTTGTGGATCCAAGTTGAACAAATACTTTGAAGCCATTTCCGCTAGCTCAACGTGGCCATGAACTCGACAAGCACCGAGTAATGTGCCCCAGATGCCAGCATCGGCGGTAATTGGCATGCTTTTGATCACTTCAAATGCTTCTTCTAAACAACCAGCCCTCCCATACAAATCAATCATGCATGCATAATGCTCCATCCTAGGTACAATCCCGTATTCTTGGACCATGCGATTGAAATAGTGCTTCCCTTCTTCAACCTCACCCGCATGACCACAAGTAGATATGATAGCAAGGAAAGTCACGTGGTCAGGCTGGAATCCATCTTCTTCCATCCCATGAAACAAATCTAAGCATTCTTCTAATAAACCATGGTTTCCATAAGCACATATTATGCTGTTCCATGAAACTTCATTTTTCGTTTTCATCAAATCAAATGCACGACGTGCTGTATGCAAGTACCCACATTTGGCGTACATGTCTATTAGTGCACTTTGAGCGAAAAGATCATTGCGAAATGCACTTTTGATCATGAAGCCATGGATCTCTTTTCCATGATGGAGAGCTGGTATATTTGCACATGCAGAAAGAGCACCTGATATGCTGACACAGTCATATTTAGCTCCTTCTGCACCCATCTTGCGGAAAAGATCAATGGTTTGCTCTGGTTCTCCATTCTTGCAATAGCCAGTAATCATTGAGTTCCAGCAAACTGAGTCTTTTTCAGACAACGACAAGAAAACTTGATGAGCAAGGTCTACCCTTCCACATTTTGCATACATATCTGTCAAGGCACTACCCACAAAGCATTTTCCTTCGTAACCATGTTTAAAGACAGTACCATGCAACTCCTTACCAAGTTTCAAGGCCGCCAATTCAGTGCAAGCTGGCAAGACACTTGCTAAAGTAAGTGCATTTGGCTTCATTTGCTTAACCAGCAACCATCTGAACACCTCTAGGGCATCAAGATTCATCCCATTAACAGCAAATCCTGAAATCATAGATGTACAAATTGCAATATCCACCGGCAGGCTACCATCAAAAACCTTGCATGCCATCTGCACACTCCTACACTTAAAATACATATCAATAAGTGCATTTTTCAAAAACACATCCAAAGTAACATTGTGTCTCACAATGTATCCATGAATAGACCTACCTAGATACAGATTTCCAGATTCAGAAACAGAGGGTAGCAAACTTGCAAAGGTGATTCCATCTGGTTTAACACCAATAGCTATCATTTTGTGAAATAAATTCCAAGCATCAGCCATAAATCCATTTTGGACATATCCACCAATCATTCCATTCCAAGGAACCAAATCATTTTTCCCCACTGTATCAAACAACTTCTTGGCATCAAACAAGCAATGGCATTTCATATACATTGCTATCAAAGTGTTGGCCACAGGAGAATCCATTTCCAGCCCACACTTTACAACAAGCCCGTGAAGTTGAGTCCCAAACTCAACCATTCCTTTAGAAGCACAAAGTGAAAGAACACAAGCATATGTCACAGAATTTGGCTTAGTATCACTTCCCCTCATCTGCCCAAACAATCCAACCACAGCTTCCTCACAATTCAAAGACCCATTAAGCATTACATTCCACAAAACACTATCCCTCATAGGTATTTTATTGAACAAGCATCGTGCATCGTCTAAAAGATGATTTTCAGCATAGAGCTTAATCAAGGCACTCCCAACAAAGATATCCAGCTCAAAACCCAAACTGCAAATCCATCTATGTACTGATTTTGCCAACTTGACAGCATGCAACCCAGCACAAGCCTTTATCACATAAGGAAAAGTGTACTTATCAGGCCATGTACCAAAACTCAACATCTTAAAGTAAAATATGAGTGCAGAATTGAAATGACCCATTACAGTAAACCCTCTGATCATCCAATTCCAAGGAGAAGCATAGCATAGATTGAGTTGCCAAAACAACTTCTTGGCATCAAGAAATCTGTTACAGAGAACATACATCCCCAGAATTCGGGTTCCCAAAACACCCGTGTTTACAATTCCATTCACAATTATTTGGGCATGAATTTGTTGCCCTTGTTGTAGAATGGAAGAACTGTCTGAAAAAGAAGTGCAAATATGTAAGATTGGTGCAAGTTTGGATGCTAAAACCTCCTCAATGCCAGTGTGAGTTAAACGGAAAACGTGCTTGGAGGTCAATGTAGAAGCAGAAGCAGCAGTGCAAAAGAAAGTTCTGGGGATGAAGCGAAGAAGATTGTTTTGAAACATCTAGCATTTGGTGGTAGAAGCTTTGGGCACTGGTATTTGTTTAATAAAGCAGTTAAGCTCTGGATGGATCAGTATTTTCTTACTGCAAAGTTAATTAGTGTTCCAGGGCCCCGATATTTCAAAGCAGCAAGATCATATTCTCCGCCCACAGCCTCTTCATCATCATATGCACCTACATGCACTTTTAGCCAGAAAAGGTTAACTTAGTTGAAAACATTGTTATTTTCACTTTAAGAAAAGAATCCCTAAAACTAAAAAACTTGTTTGCAAGGATCATCAACCAATCAACATGCAATTTCAATGATAATATAAGAATTTCAAGCATGCAATTCAACAAGGCATTTGAGCTCCAAGTTAGACTTGCAGGGATTCCCCGTCCCCACTAGGGGTGTGCATTCGGTTAACCAAACCGAATTAAAACTTTAACCGTTAACCGAATCGAAATTTTTATTACCGAATTAACCGAACCGAATTTTTTTGGGGTTAATCGGTCAGTTAACCGATTAGACGAAGTTGTTAAAGCTTCACTGGAAGAACTAGCTGCTGAATATCAAACTAATAAGCCTGATTCTGTCCCACCTTCATCATCTTCGTTAAACCAAGATCGTATTTTTATGCTTCAAGGCACTGAAATGAATAAAAGGTTGTGGATTGGACCAAACAGAAGCCCTACTCCAACTGCCTCAGTGAAGAAAAGATTAGTCCAGGTAATTGAATACCTGAAAGAGTCAACAAGGGACAAAGACGTTCTCATTCAGATATGGGTACCTGTAAAGAGTAGAGGCAGACAATCAGACATGTCTTCACAACTAATAACCAACCATTTTTCCTCAATCCAAACTGCAAAAGTCTTGCAGATTACATATTTACAGGCATGTCTCTAGAAACAATCAATTTCACAGTAATATTAAAAATTAATGGAAGGCCAACTAAGGAATTTCTTGAAGGATTAAACTCAACCAGTCCCCATGACTGGAGTTCTGCACTCATACATAACCAGATAGCATATCATGTATGAAGCATGACTGGAGTTCTGCACTCAACCAGATGCCACCACCTAGTGCAGAATATACATCTCTGTTACACTATACTAACCAGGGAGTCCGGCAACACAAATAATCAATTAAATAAAAAAATATTCCAACATAGAGGGAGTGGGAGGTAGGGAGAAACACAAAAAGTAAGACACAAATAATCAATTAAATCAGCAAACATTCCAACATAGAGGGAATGGGAGGTAGGGAGAAGAGTTGCGGTACTTGTCAGAAAGGAGCTGAGACGTCCTTGAGCTAGAAGCGAGGCGGAGTGAGTGACGAGGAGGGAGTTAAGCGAGTAGAGAATGGCGCGGTGAAGTGAGGTTAGGGCAGCGATTCGGGAGGATTCATCCTCCTCGGACGTCATCGCAGCGGATGACGACGGCATTGACGAGGACGGAGTTTGTGGCAGCGGCGGTAGTGGTGTTGATTTGGAGGTCTCGTCTTTAGGAAGCGCCGCCTCCCTAAGGGGAACTCAGATATTCAGATTAGGGGAAACAGGGAAAGGGAAAGGTAGACTGTAGACACCAAATACTACAATAGCAAAAATTTTTATGCTCAAAATAATGATAAGAGTTAATACCAGCCAAGATCCCTCGAGTTTGGTGATTTCGCCACATATAGTCCTAAACTTTCGTATTACCATCCGTGGTCCTCCGACTTTCAAAATGTGACCTGCTGCCATCCTCCCGTTAGTTTCTTCCGTCTGGGCCGTCTAAAGTGGGGATAGAATTGTCATTTGCCTTAAATAATTCATTTTTAAGGGCAAATATCACTGTTTTATGTATTTTGGTCTCCTCCGCCAAATTCAACAAACCGTAGTACAGATCGAACAGACCGATGGGGTTGGTTTTTTGAAAGCAAGCTATCCTCAAGAAAGAACATCGCACCTCCAAAGCTGCTCTGCAAGCGAATCGACACCACTAGAACTGATTCCGGGGCAATTCTGGATGTTCAAACCGACAAGGCTATTGCGCAGCTTAAGCAAGAGAGGTAAGGTCTTGTTTGACACCATTGCACATCCCGACAGAGAAAGGATTTGCAAAGAAAGCTGAACTGCATCGGTCAGTGCCAAAACACAGTTACTACTGCTTCTGCAACTAATCTCAATCCCAACCTTAGTAACAAAACTCCGGTCTCTCTACTTTTTGTAACAAGCAGAGTACAACTTCAACCAGCCCAAACACTCCAACAACCAATGGTGAGATCTTCCAGGACCACCACAACCACTTCCATTGTTCCTTTTTGATGCAATTCTTCCCTTGGCTTGGTATATTAAGCATAATATTTGCATTTGGCTTGGTATATTAAGCAAATGAAAAATGCTCCAAACCACACAAGATTGTCAAACAGTTAGCTTTACAAATAGCTTAGTGTTTACCAGACATCTGCCTAACCCTCCCAAAGGAAAACTAACCCAAAAATTAAACAGTCATTGAAGTTCACTGCTTTGTAAAATAAAATTTTGAGAGGCACCTAGAGTCTAGACTCTTCAGAGTTAAGCCACAAAAGCCCAGCAGAAAAAGCAATATCTGTTTGATGTTTAATGCACTTCAAATACTACGTTACTACCTTGAAGCTCTATCACACAGAAGGAAGTTAGCACAACATAAGAGTACCAAGAAAACGGAATACTTTTCTTTAAAAATAAGCCCCAACTGTGGATTTGATAGTGTAAATGCTATATGCAGACAAAGCATTTGGCTAAAAATGCAGAGTTCATACAACTTTTTTCTTAACAAAAAATAGGTTAAATCAAGCCAGAGATGGTTGGAAATATTAGGCCTTTGATCTCTAAATGATGCTTAAAGCAAAATGGAGTTACCTTGTAATTAGAATACTGTTGAAAATATTGTCTCTCTTTGGAATCCATAATTGTCAAGTTCGTTTTCCAATTTTCCATTTGTGCTTCACAAGGAGCAATGTAATCTTCAAGCTGAGCAAGCGTTCTACCAAGTAAATAATTAAAAAGTAGTAATAAAAAAATCAGATACCGGAAAAGTGCAACTTCGGAGGCTAAACTGCTTCAGATTTGGGCAACCTTTACCCTTAGCTTCAATCCCCAAGTCGGTAACACCACGACGGCGATTTTCAGTTTGGATGGATGGAGGACGTTTTCAACGCCGCCACCTGAAGCTTGCGTTCGTGCGGCTGCCAATTCCCCTCAGTTGCCCGGATTCCGAAGCGGCGGCGGCGGCGCTGTGGGTGCAAAACGGGTTTCGGAAGTCAGAAACGGTTGAGGCGGTCGCCGGAGGAGGGGGGCTGTGGCCGGAAAACAGTGATATTTGCAATTAAAAATGGATTATTTAAGGCAAATCACAATTCTATTCCCACTTTAGACGGTTACAGTAGAAAGTAGAAACTAATGATAGCAGGTCAGATTTTGAAACTCGGAAAATTATAGATGGTAATATGGAAATCACCAAATTTGAGGGACCTTGACTGGTTGGTATTAATTTATAATGATAATTATTTATAACTATAATGATGAGTTAATTTTATTTTTTGTCATAGATTTATAAGTAATCATTTATTTTTATTTTTTTATAATATTCTATTTAATCCTAATATTATTATGGCCTGATCATTTTTTATCATATATCAATAAAATTGTTTAAATTTTGTAAAATACACAGTCATTTTGGATTGTTTGGTTGAATGTAGTTGTAATTCAATTACAACATAATTCTTTGACTACTCGAACTACAGTGTTTGGTGGATGGAATTGCAATTCTTCATTTTGTTAAATTGCAACTCATACTCTCCCCCGTATGAATTGCAATTCAATAGGAAAAAGGGAGAAAATATGACTTTTTTACCTTTTATTATTATTAGCATTATTATTACACAATGATATTTTAGGGTGTGTTTGGTTCGCGTATGGGAATCGGAAACGGAATGAGTATCAAATATTGGTAATGGTAATGGGTTTTAATCAAAGTATTTTGCATGCTTGGTAGTAGGGTGGAATGAGAATGATTAAGCTAAGGATGAATAATGTGATGAAACCCTTATAAAATAAGGGAATGAGTTTTTCCATTAATGGGGTATTCCAAACCCATCATAGTGTTTTAAAAACCAGTCAACCAAACAATAACAATTACTTTCGTACTCACACCTGAGTGTTAAATTTGCCAGCCAAACACACCCTTAGTTTTTGTACCACTTCTTCCCTTCTCATTTTCAATAATTATATTCTTCCCTACTAAATAATGTAATTTGAATTCATACTTTAATCGCACCTTATTTTTTTTCCACCAAATTACCATCCCTTCCCCCCTAATTCCTTCATTCCAACCAAACACCTCATTAGATCTTCAATTATAATTTTTTTCAAAAAAATAAAAATAAAAATATAGCATGTGCAACCCAATTTGTATAAAAAAAAATAATCAAAATATCTATGTTTTTAACGATATTTCAATAATTTTGTTGATGAATGACAGAATCTTGCCATAATAATACTATAATCAAAGAAGAATGTTCTGAAAAATAAAAAACTAAGAATAAATTGTAACTTATAAACCTATGACCAAAACTATAATTAACTCCTATAATGATATATGATTATAATATTGGGAATGATTTATGCTCAGAATATTCAAAAATAGTTAAAAGTAATAGTAATGAATGAACTAGAAACATAAGGAATTTCCAAACACCTATTTACTATTTATGATAACCAAAAAAATACAATACAACCAAAGTAATTATTGAAACAGAACTCAAATATCAATTCAAAATTTTAAAATAATAATCTTTTACATATAAGGAAAAGTATGATATGATATTTATCTATATCTATATCTATATAATAACAAAAGTATTATCTATGCTTCTTTGAGTTCTTTCTATATATTTATGAGATACTCCATCTTTCCCATTTTATTTGTCATACTTACTATTCATTGATTAAACCAACTCATTTTTTGTTTCTAAGTATCTTTTACTTATTTTTAAATTTATTTTTTTGTGTTTAATATTACTTTTAGTGTAGTTTCTAAATATATAAATTTTGTATACTAATACTAAACTTAATATTATAAAAAATTAAATTAAGAATAACTTTAGTCAAACCTCGTTAACCGAACCAGACACATAAAATGGGATGGAGGAAATATTATGTTAGTTTATAGAATTGTAATTATTGTTATTACAATTATACACATTGATTGTTGCAGCGGTTACTCATTATGAAAATTTCATTTTTAAAAAAATCATACTCTTAATTAGAAAATTCACAAACAGTTTTTCTATTTTCTTTGAATGCTGCTGACTCTATTACAATGTAGTATCTGTTCATATACTTTGTCAACCTACTGAACATAAAGAGCTAATAACACCTCCACTAAGGCTCAAACTCACAACCTTCCAAATGGAAGTCCAACCCAGGTACCATTAGATCACATAGTCTTGGTATTTAAAAATCTATTTAAATACGCAGCGACTACATTAACCCATACAAAATTTAAAAATTAAGTTCTTTTAATTTACCAGGACTATGTGGTCTAATGGTACCCGGGTTGGACTTCTATTTAGAAGGTTGTGAGTTCGAGCCTCAGTGGAGGCGTTATTGGTTCTTTGTGTTTCAGTAGGTTGAGAAAGTATATGAACAGATACTACAATGTAATAGAGCCAGTAGCGTTCAAAAAGAAAAAGTTCTTTTAATTTTTAAATACAATTCCCTTAATTGTAATCAAGGTAATTACAATGTGAAATACAATTAAGGAAACAAAATTATAAAATTAACTAAATTTGTATTCATTGATATATTTAGAAATCTTTTTTTTTTTTTGCGTCCAGATTCGCTCCGAGAGGCACATGAGCTGGCCCAAGAAAAGCATCACTTGTGGGAATCAAACCCAGGTTATCCCGAAATTCTCCCCCACAAAGAGAGCTCATTTGTCACTTGAGCTACCCTGTTGAATTTTTAGAAATCTACTTGAATACATTAATATACTTATGTAGTATATTAATCATATAAAATTGTGTTTCAAAAAATCATATAAAATTAAAATGCTAATTTTTTTAAAAAAAATTCTATATGTAGTTATCTTAGCTTGAAAGGTTGAAAACTTGAAAAAAGACTTCTGAAAGTCATTTTTTGAATTTTTAGTGTTTGGCTACTCAAAGAAACAAAAAAAAAAATCAAAAGAAAATATCCATTATGAACAACAGAAAAATGTTCAATTTTGTGAAAAATGTCTTCCTAAATTTTTAATCGAAAGACATTTTCCAATTTATTTATTTTTATCTCTCTCTTTTCTCATACCCCTCTTCATACTAGTTTTCAGATTATCATAATCACCACCACCACCACACCACGATCTCCACCACCTGATAGGGAGCTTTAGATAGGAACAAAGTTTAAAAGGATTGGTAAAATGGCGAAATTTGAGTTGGATAAGTGTTTTATATGTGAGTTCTAGTACAATTGAAATACCTTAAAACATTAGAAAAGACTAGATGAGCCAATAACCAACTGGGATTCAAGTTACCTAGTGGGCAGTTCTCACGGACGATTGAGATTTGAATTAGGTGGTATACAATTTTCAATTGGGACTAGATGGCCTGTGATTAATAATTAATTTTGGGAATCTGTAGTTGACAATTTGAATTTAGAGGTCCGACATTAGTAAGAAAACAAGTGATATGTAATTTTTCCAAGGCAATTGTGAAATACAGGTGGTGGTCGTTGATTCGACATCTCTTATTTCCTCTGGCCATTCTAGATGACCTGAAGAAGTGAGGGAGTTGTGATGGGCTTAGGTCATGCCCAGGGAGCCTGGAAGGTTAGGCTAGTGAGTTGCGTACCAAGCAAGTTACGAATTATTCGTTGTTTGGTTTCTTTCAACTAGGAATGAACCAAGGACATGTTTGGCGAGGGGAGTTGAGCAATGAGGGCAAAACACATTAGGGGAAGGGGGACCAGTTTCTCCCCCTACTCAGTTGGTGCCCCCAACCCTAGTCGCCGATACGGTCGAGAATGTCCTGTGACTAGGTGACTAACGTTAGTCTCGGCATATTGGCGTCGCTAGCTAGTCAGGCCTCCGCTTTTGGTCTGGTAACTAGTAGAGTCTTGGCTGGGGCATGGCAAGGTGTAGCCAGCCAGCCAAACTCCAAATAGTATGAACGTTTTTTTTAATGGGGAGATTGATCCAAGGTATCCCCGCTTCCTAAGTTACATGGCAAACTATCAAGAAAAGTAACAACTGACGTGGTAGGCTACATGGTCCTAGGTATCACCAAAATTTTCTTTTCTCTCTCCACGCGGCCCCACCAAAAACTCAAAATAATGCAAATCATTTTCTTATCTCTCTTCCACCATCTTTCCTCCACCTCACATTATATCCACGGACGAAGTCACTATGGGAATAGTGGGTGCAGTTGCCCCCCCCCCCCCCCCCCTCCCCTCACACAATCCCTTATATATATATATATATATATAATTAATTTCACTTTTGGTCCCACGACTTTTGATGTTCTATCACTTTTGGTGCACAACTTTAAATTTTTTTAATTTTGGTGCCTAACTTTGTTACTTTTATCAGTTTTGGTCCTTCCAGCCAAATTGACGGTAAAATATTTCTGGATTTTATATTTTAGAGGCAAAATCGTCATCCCATGGAAAGATCTTCAATATTTAAACAAAAGAAAAACCATATTAAGAGGAAAAAAAGAGTTTGCCAATGGTCGAAACTATAAATCCCATAGATCTGTCTGGTTTCTGCCCGTCTTTCACATTATTCTCATCATCAAACACATATAGATATGATTTTACAGGATGATTTTGTTTAGATATTGAAGATGTTGCCTTGGGATGATGATTTTACGCCTAACAATATAAAATCCAGCAACATTTCGCTGTCAAATTCGCCAAAAGGACCAAAACTGATAAAAATAACAAAGTTAGGCACCAAAATTAAAAAAATTTAAAGTTGTGCACCAAAAGTGATAGAACATCAAAAGTCGTGGGACCAAAAGTGAAATTAATTCTATATATATATATAGTATTAAATTTTATATAAAACCTATATTTATGTTTAAATTGTTAATAGTTTGAGTAGCTTAGTTGGTTGAACTCTAAACTTGATCTTAAAAAGACTATATCACAGGTTCAAATCCCATTAGCAACACTTGTTGTGTTATCTTTAAAAAGTATTTATGAATATAGTGTTATTCAAATTATTTTCACCCCACTCAAGTATATTTTTTGTTCCGACACTAATTATCATGTAATGTATAAAAAATTTTTATTATAATTTATAATGTATTTTAACATTATTATAACTGTTTGATATTTTGTTATTGATATCTCTAACGTCATTTTAAATTTTATTCCACTCAAATAAATTTCTGGATCCGTTCATGATGATCTCCTATAACTTGGCAAAAAACTCTTTAAAAATTACAAATGGTCATGGCCCTAATAGATGATGGTGCATTTTAAAATAAAAACACTTGGCAGTCGGCAGCATGAGCAGTGTGGAAGTGAACAAAAGAAAGTCGAATTGTTCTCAAAAAAAAAAAAAAAAAAAAAAAAGTCGAATTTGACAACTCGATGAGCAGCAGCCGAGCCGAGTAGGAATATAACATAATTATTATAATTAGTCCATTGCCCCATTGGTATTGGTAATTTGGTATATACCAAAAAAAAAAAAAAAAAAAAAAAAAAAAATCAGTCAGACAAGAGGGTTCAATCCCCAACAGAACTGCTGCCTGCCGATCCATTCTTCCATCCGCTTTCGATCACTAGCTCTAGCATAAACAATATTGAAATACCGATACCGGCAAGCTCACTATCGTGTTGATCGGAGTCAACGATGGGCCTCTTCTCGTACACCGTCGCCGGCGGTGGATTCATAATGATCGGCGCTTGGGAAGCTTTCGCATCGTCCAAAGAAACCTTGAAGGTGACGCCACCGCCACCGTCACCGCTGGAACAGCCTCAATTAGCGGACATAACCACCCCCAAATCCACACGGATTTCCTCCTCCGCAACATTCCTAGCAGGTTCTGTTCTCTCGTTTCTCTTCATTGTCAACTCACTAATCTCAATCTCCGATGCCATCAGCTCCGAAGATGATGTCGGCGTGGTTATCCAGTTGGAGGTAATCTCGATTTCGCTCCTTTTCATCCTCTACTCTGTGGTCGGCTTCTTTAGCCGTTCAAAAGATTCTCTTCAATTGCCTTGTCAAATCCCCAATTTGATTTCCCTCTTTGCATTCGGGGAGGAATTTTTAATATTTTACATTCAGAGGAAAGACCCCAGCGGGGTTGAAAATCGTTACTATGATCTCTTCCTAGTGCCAATTGCTGCCTGTGCATTCTGTACGATTCTCGAATTGAAAAATCCCCAAAGGAATTACTGTAGACTGGGGCGAGGGATCGGGCTGGTCTTACAAGGAATGTGGATTCTGCAAATGGGGTTCTCATTTTTCTCAGGCCTGATGGCTCATGGCTGCGCATTGCACGAGAGAAGTAGAGGTAATTACACGGTGAAGTGCAAGGGGCAACATGAATACCACCGAGGTCGAGCCATTGCCACGCTTCAGTTCAATTGCCATCTTGTTCTGCTTGTCACCATTGTTTCTGTAGTTTTCTGTATAGTTTGTAAGAAGAATGGGATTAGGCAGGAAAGTAGCAAGTATAGACCGATTGGAGCAGAGGTGCAGCAGATGGAAATGGGTGCTTGCTCTGCTTTTTCTTTGGAGTCCGATGACGATGAAGGAGCGAATCATCATAATGCTTTGGGAATGCCAGGGGTGGCAGCTAATGGCTTTCATGCTCACCAGTGAATATTTATTTCCCACACACATAGTATCTCCTTCTCTTCAGTTCTGGATTGTATTTGTTCTTGATAGTTTTGTTTTCCTGCTGCTGCTACCAAATTCATACATTTATTTAACTCTATAAGCCTTTTACAATTTCTAATTCACTTTCTTCAGCAACAAAATTCTATATTGCAGGGGTAACCCTCAGCCAAAGTGGCAAGGGATCCACACTTGTAATCACAAGGACACGAGTTCGAATCATTGCCCCTTGATTTGAGCCAGTTGAAACGAGTTCAAATCAAATCATTGCCTCCTGGTTTGAGCCAGTTGAAAAAAGCAGGATCCCTTGTAACCATAAGGTCACGAGTTTGAATCAATGTCTTGGTTTGCTGATTTACTTTCTTGTGGTTATTTGCTGACTAAGGCCACAAGGTGAAATTTACCTACAAACCCCCACACTTGTAACCACAAGGTCACGATTCGAATCATTGCCCTCTAGTTTGAGCCCGTTGAAAAAAGCAGGATCCCTTGTAATCACAAGGTCACGAATTTGAATCATTGTCCTGGTTTGAGCCAGTTGAAAAAAGCTAATTTACTTTCTTGTGATCCTTTGCTGATTAAGGCCACAAGGCGAAATTTACCTACACACAAAAGTGTCGTGGAGTTTTCCCTCTGTCACAAAAAAAAAATCTATATTGCACTATCTAATTTAGTTTAGGATACTCTATCACATACAAAACATCACATTGCATTTTCTAATGTAGTTAGTATACCCATATCGTAAACAACAATGTGAATGTGAATCATACAAACTGTGCCTCCCCAGTAATTGGTTCATCTTACCATATCACAACCTACTTAAAATATAAAGGCTCTTGTATGGCAGTAGTACACTACTCAACATATTTCCACAACAAACATTTCGCTTCCCTGCTAGTAAAAGGCCGATCTCCTATTCCGCTCTGCCCACTCATTCAGAAAAACATGCAAGTAAAGCTTTTACTCGTTAGTTTGGACGTAGGTCTAACTTGTAAGCCTGCACTTCCATGGGAGATATGAGGACGTGACCTTCACGGGCACCATCTGCAAAATGGCCATTGTAACCAAGCATTTCTGTGTCATCATGCAGAAGATTCAAAGAGGTAGGTTTTGCATTCAGAACAGCAAGACCTTTGAACATGTCAAATAGGTTAACTGGCACATCAGCCACACTTGAACACTCAGATCTGCCCTTTCGACAATACGAAGAGTCCCAATGTCGTCTCTGAAAGATGAGAACAAACCTAGGCTCTTCAAGTGACTGCTGGGAATACTTTAGAGGTCGAGGAACCTTGAAGCTTAGAATGTGCAAGTCACAGGGCAAGGTAGCCGCCAGTGGAGAGAAGGATCTAGGTGGTGGCTGCACAGAAATTTCCTGAGCTTTCTTGGCAATAAATGTGAGGAGTGGATAGTTTAAATGGGCACCAATCAGATGAGATAGAAGGGAAGGGTTTAGTGGATGAGTTATTGCAACAGGATCAGCAGTTGTTGAAATGTTAGACTCCAAAAGGATATGGAAAACGACATTCATTGGGCGGTTGTCCATCACTCCCTGACCAAGCCCACGCCCATCATCTCTGACCAATCTCCGGTCAAGCATGATCTCTAACCATCCATCTTTAAGACTTGCTACACCTAGTGACTGCCGAGTATGAACAGAGAAGCGCCGTCCGTTTGATCCCTGCATAAAAGCAAGAGAGGGCATTGGGTAATAGTTTCCTTGAATAGGAATCTTATCATAGGTTTCTCTTCGGCTCATCTGGAACCCATTCAAATCAGAATAGAAAATCCTTTTGTTGTCAGTATCAGTCTTGTATCTAGCTATCAGCTCTTTGTTGTTAAAATTGCTGTCAAGAAGCTCAACATGGTACTCCTTCTCAATGATGTAGCCCTGTACGGAATTATCACAATCATAGATGCGGGTGCTATGGGAAATTGGAGATTTATCCCATGCTGTCTTTGGGAATGAGTAAGCTTCCTGCACCAAGTGGCCCTCTGAGATAACCATTGATCCACCAGCTAAGGAAATAGGCTCAGCATCACCATCTGGTTTGAATAGATAAGCTCCACTCCCTGTGCTGGAGTACATAGCTAATTCCTCACCAATAACATTTTGTTGACCATCAGTATAACTTACTCTCTGTAACAAACCTTCCTTCATGCTAAATGTAAGTGTTTGGTGTTGATTACGAATTGTTGCTTCATCACCTTCCATTCTTGAGCAAGTATATGGTGCAGGGCAAGAAAAGCTGGCAGAAGGTACAAACCATTTTACTTGTGCTGGTATAGCCTTTTCACATCCAGCAAACCCGTTAGCAACATAGTAAGTTTGCAACCCCAATGCAGGGACCGAAGCTTTCCAATAGACACGATGTTTACCAGAAAACATCTTCTCCACACTGTAGTGTACCTCGGGAGATATTTGGCTTTTTACACATGTCCAATTTGAGTCTAAGATAGTCACATCTGGCCTGTCAACAATGACTGTCACCACCTCATTTCTTGTCTGCTCTAGTGGATTAAAAATTACCAGAGTCTGCACAGTTCCTTCATGAGCAGCTATTGCTTTATGTACTGGCTGAGCATCATATTTAGATCTCACTTGTGCAGGCTCAAACTGAGATGGGTTCTGATCATTTTTCTCATGACGAATCCCAAGCAACACCTCAATGGCCTTTGACATAAAAATCTGAAGATCTTGCAAAGCCATATGCATCCGCATCCCATAATCTTTAACCACATGATCCCTAGCAGTACCAGTCACCCCATCATGATGCTGAAATAGTGCTAGGTTCCTTCTAGCTGCTGTCAACTTGTAGGAAAATCCAGTAGGCAACTTCTCACATTGTGCTCTATGACAGTATCCTAGTAGGAAAGCCATCATCATTTCAGCACTGCGGAGGTTTTGCTCCAAAACACGATCAACAGCCTTGAAGAAAGGCCGAGAAACATAATAACCGCTCCAGTAATCTTGCTGTCTGTCAGCATAAGTAAAGAAATCACCCGATAGAGAAGGAAAGCCACCAATCTCACCAGATCCAATCTCATTTGGACGGGAATAGTTTACCCTATCAGCCTCTTCACGCAGAGTCTTGTAATAATCTTCCAATGTGCCAAATTTTGCTTCTGCATTCAAGCTTGGATTAGAATTTATATAATCAAACAAAAGTTGATAATTCCGGAACTGAGCTTCTGCCTCATCAATGCTAACATAGCGGAAATCATCTCCAAGGGGAACAAGAAGTGTATTGGTACGATATAGCGTTGACTTCTTTCTATATTGATCCAACAGCTTATATGCTCTTTCTTTCACATTTTCAGGAGTGGTCTCCTGTGGATGTTGTCCCCAAGGGCAGCGTTCATATGAAAAGCCATACGTTCGAGCAAAGTCAAACTGACAACAGACTGCAGGCTCAGGCCCACAAGTATGTGGAATGTCATAAGAATAAAAGGGCATCATATGGACAAACATGTCAGTCGTTTCTTCAGCATCCCAGCTCTGTCGCCAGACATATTCTAAATTTTTATACAAAGCCAGTTCCTTTTTCAATTCATAATGTGTTCTTTGTATAAGCATATTCTCAAAGCCCATACGACGGAGAAGATATGCCATTGTTGGAGAATATCCAAACGGATCTATAACCCATGAATTTTTAGGAATAACACCACATGTTTCATTAAGCCACATATTACCCTCTGTCATCTGGTCAAAGATTCATAAAACAAGGAACTTAAGTTTTCAGGGACAGCATAATTAATATGAGATACACACACACATATATATACATCTGTGTGTATGTATCATGTATGTAAATGTTTGTTTATGCACACAAATACACACACACATGTATCCATATATGAGCAAAACAGAACTATCACCCAATCGCACAACCAAACATCTTTGAGAGTTCAAACTAATAACTCGGTATCAGGAAGTTAGCAATCAGTTCTGCTGACAATATGAATTAGTGAAGAGTGAAGACCAATACAAAATTAAGGATAAAAGAACCAAGTATGGAAATTAGAATGAGATGACATACATTATGCAGAAAAGCAACAACTTTCAGTTTAGTAAATCAGAACTGGACCATTTTTTAACCTCCATATAACAGTCTACTTAATTCTCTGGTTGACCTCATTCATACTCTACTTAGTTTGCAATTAGAACTCCAAAGCAAGAAGAATCAAGAATTGAGTGAAATAATAAACAGAAACCATTTTATGCTTAATCAAAATAAGAGGATATATTTCTGAGTTTAACAACATAACATAACCCAAACTAAGTATATGTTGTGCAGCAACTTTAAGAAATGTGGGATACGAAAAATAAAAGTAAAGCACAAGAAGAGTCTCCACTTTTACCTGTTCTATGATTGCATAATAATGTGAATTGGCCTGTAAAAAAAATCAAAGAATAAAACAAGCTGTTAGTGCACAAGGCAGACAAATTCAGACATGGCTAAAAAACCATTACAAAACAATTGATTCCTTGATGAGATATGAGATTCTCTTTATTATAGCATAGCCTTCACAAGGAGAGCCAAGTTATGCACTCAATGTTAGTGTAAAAAGTTATTATACCTAAAATCACTTGAGCACCGGTTACCAGCCAAATAAGCTCATTTGTTCAAGAGGCTAGATCTCATTAACTGATTAATTTCACATAGTATCCCGGTCTTTAGGTAAATTATACTCAAAAAAACAAATTTTGAGAACAGCACTGATAATCAAACTAAAACTCTTGATTTCTTTGAACTGTGCTACATCCCCCATTTGGCAGAAAGAAACAGCATTGAAATAGAGAGAAAATAAGTCCAGCCAGCATTGCAAAAGGTCCATTAAATTTACAGCATGGGCTCATTAGTTATTACCTCATCATTCATCACCCAACCACCTCCAACAATTTCTAGTTGTCCATTCTGTACTAAATTGATGAAGGATTCTTTATTTGCAGCTGAGGTATCCCTCCACCATCTCTCCAAATAAGACATCTCTTCCCATATAAACTTGCGGCGAACATCCTATAGACGAAAAAGTCCAAAATTGAGTAAATGGAACACAACAAAAACATTGCCACAAAATTAATTCTGTTATTGTTATCATCAGATGATCGGAATTTCTCATTGCAACATGAAACATTAACAAAGTCATCCCAGTGAAATTAACATTCAGATTAGTTGATTAAACAGTAGAATAGTGGAGAAGCAGCAAGAGATTTCACCTTGGAAAGCGTTTCAACAATGGTGTCAAGGATATGCCTGGACTGTCGTTCATAGTATTCCTCAACTGTGTAAATCCAACCTGGATCATTATGCGAATGTGGAACCACAAAAATTTTCAATTTCTCCGAATCCCATTCATTTCCTTTGTAGGTCACCTTCCATCCTTGCTTCCAAGCACCGCCATCCTCATCAAGGAACTGAATCTTGTCGTACAGGCCCTTGGTGGTTATATCCACTGCAGCCCCCAAAACGGCGTCACCAGCTGGGGATTTCCGGGAAACGGGCTTACGGAGTCGAGTAAAACGGGTTCGGGTTGAGCGGAAGTGAGAGGAGAGCAGCGGCTTAGGAACGCCATAGCTGTAGATGGTGAGAAGAAAGAAGAGGAGACACAAGGAGAGGCCGATGGCGATGAAGTTGGAGAGCAGGAAGTCTTTGAGAGAGGCGCGTTTGCGGGACTTGCGAGGCTGCTTCAATGAAGATTTGGAGGTGGGGAGAAGAGAGCGTGACCACCAACCTCCTCCGCGGCGAGTGGAGAAAGCCATCTCGGTGCGGTGGTCGTGGAAGAAGCAGTGGAGGCGGAGGTGGCGGAGTGGCGGTTGCAGAAGTAGATCTGCTGTGTCCGTCCCTTCTTCTGCTTTAGAGTAAGAGCGGAAATTTCCATTGATGAATTGAAGTTCTCAGTGGGGCCCAATGGTAGAATTTTCTTCCAAGTCAATTTAACAAAAATGACCGCCACTGTCTGTGGACTTTTTACCCCCAGCATCACGCTTTGCTTCAACGATGAGTAAATTCTTCCCAATGAGTAAGTAAATTAAATCAATGGATAATGGTGAAATACATCATTCAATTTTTATTTAAAAAAATATAATTAAATCATCAAATTCTAAAAAAAGTTTAAATAAGTTATTGAATTTGAAAACTGATGCGATTAAATTCTTTTTACTCCTTATAGCAATGTTAACAACATGGTATATTGTTATAATGTAATGTAATGGGAGTGACACACTAAACTTTTTAACACCAACTCATCTATTTATTATTTTTTTCAAACCACTCATCTATTTATTGTTACTTATTATTATTATTGAATCTTTGCTCGAGTTGAAACTTAAAAAGAGGATAAGGCATTAAGGTTGTCCTTAACCCAGAAATTCTTCCCACTTTCTAGATGACATGACTTTTAAAAGCTATTTTATTTTAATTTTTTTGTCATGTTGGATAGAAAGCTTGAAAATTTAGCAAGCTTTCTAATCCTGACGCGGCAGTCTTTGTGTACCTTTTTTTTTTAAAAAAATTTTGTTTTAATTTATAAGCTATTTATTATATTATATTATTATTATATTTATAATATAATATGAAAGTGGGACCATTTTAGAAAGTGAGAAAATATTGCAGGGATGTAGTGTGAATAGTAAATGATTTGCAAATTAAGTGATGTAAAAGTGGGAACCATTTAAAAAAAAAGGGATAGAATTGCTGAGATGGGATTAGCCTAATACGTTGATAGTATTTAAACTTCATGTCTCATAGCTACTATCTCAGTTTCACTTTGATTGTTATAATAATCGGTAACTATAGAATTTTAAAAATAAAATAAAATAAAGAGAGAGAGAGGGATAGGGAAGAAGTGAGGAGTAAAGTAGTGGTCTTCGCCAAGACAAACATTAACGAAAACTTCATAGTTGCATCACCTTAACTGCCATGACAATGACAATTACGTTTTAAAAACTTTATAAAATAAAAATAAATTGATATGTAAAAAAAATTAATATATTTTGATAAAAATTAATAATGACAATTACGTTTTAAATATTTTAATTTATTTTAATATATTAAAATAAGCTAACATTTTAAAATATTGTATTATAATTCATATTATGCAATTTATTTTTTAAAAAAATAATATTTCTTTGTTTCTAATGTTAATTTCTTTTATTTGAATACAAACTTTTAAAATGTTAATTGTTAAAAAGTTACATAAAATAAATTGAAATATTAAAATTTTATGCTTTGTTATTAAGTTTGTGTCAACATAAATGATAAAACATTTGTATATGTCAATCTATTCTTATTTGTATGAAATATTTTAAAGGGAAAAGGTACAAATAGGTCATTGAATTATTTGGGGGATAACAATTAAATCATCTAACATAAGCTCCAAATTGATCCATGAACCTGTAAAAAAGTGCAATTAACATTTTTAGTATATTACCAACAAGTTTGTGATGATTATGATGCTATATCGGTATTTTTTATTTTTTATTTTTTAATTATTATTATCCTACTAAGCATTTGACCGAAAAAAAAAATAAAAAAAAATTAAAAACAAAAATTAAGCATTATGACGAAATAATACTAGAGGTAATTGAGTTAAACTATTTTTTTTTTTTAAATAGACTATGGAGTTTGGCGCCAATATATACCAGCCAATGTCATCTCATTTGATCTGTTACGGTTGGATAAACCATCACAAAACAACACTCACCGTATATATGGATCTATATAGAAATTATTAACTATTAATATCGTTACCAGGACTATGTGATCTAATGATATCCGGGTTGGACTTCCATTTGGAAGGTTGTGAGTTCGAGCCTCAGTGGATATATCAATTTGGAGCTTATTCGAGTTCGGTGGCCCAAATAGTTCAAATGGCCTATTTGTACCTTTTCCCTATTTTAAAATACAAATAAAATTTCTAAAATTATCATATTTTAATGTTCTTTAATTAATATTTGCAAATAAATTTAGGAATAAGGGTCAAATAGGCTATCGAACTGCACACAATAATACAATTAGGTCACTGAACCTAAAAAAAAAACAACAATTGGGTCCCTAAACTAATCAATTTCATTCAATTAGTGGAATTTACAGGTTTTGCATGTTAGTAACAGGTCACCAAAAATTTAAAATATTTTTTGAAAAATTATTATTTAAAATAATAAATTAAAAAAAAATGTTTTCTGTCTCGGGCCATGGAGAAGGATATCAGTGTCGTGTTTTGTTTATTTTCCAAAAAATAGCAAAAGTATACAATATATTTATATAAGAAAAAATTAACACTGAAATGGTTTCTGGCGAAAACCAAATATGGTTTCCGGCATGTTTTCATATGTGGGTTTTTTTCCACACAGCCGAAAACCTTTTCTGCTGGGCGAGGTCTGGCACGGGAGGTTAAAAAATGTAAACTATATATTAAAAAAATAAAACAAAAATATGGCTGAAGAAGAAGTCATGAAAGATGATGGAGGAAGAAGAAGATGCTGCGCGTCGGGAAAATGATTTCTCCCAAAAAGATGGGGAGTTTTTTTTTTTTTTTTTTTTTTTTTTTTTCCAGGAAAACAAGGGTATTTTTTCCTTTGATCAGAAATCATTTTTCATGACTTTAATTTTTCAATTTTTGCCAAACACTAGAAACCCATAAAATGATTTACTACTACTACTAGAAAATCGGAAAAATGATTTTTTGAAATAATTTTTCATATTTCCCGTGTTTGGAAGATCCTAGAAACTTAGCTTGAAGTCAACGAAAATTATTTTCCGGTCAAAGGGAAAATAAGGATGTTTACGCTCCATCCTTCTCTATCTCCTCCATCGACTTTCTTATTGGTCTCTCTTACCGTCCCTAAGGTATTTTTTTTATGCTATTTTCTTTTCGATGTTGTCCTTTTCCTTCAGAAACTAGTGGAAACCCGACTCGTTTTCGGAATGGTTTTTGACCGGAAACTATAGAGTCTCTAGTCTCTGTTTGAAACAGAAAACTGGTTTTTGAAGCAGGAAATCAGTGTTCTGGTTTTCGGCTTCTGAAACTAATGGTCTTAAATTGTTATTTTTTTACATGAAATTAGTGTTCATTTTTTAAAATAAAAATAACACTAATTTTACTTTTTAAAGAGATGCCCCTTGAATTGTTTGAATAAATAAAAAGGTTGTATTTAATGGTGAGTGATGATAATAATAGGTAGAATGTTTGTAACTACAACATAATTTTAATTTTTAACTTTGGGTTACAATTCTGTTCATTTTACAAAAAATAACTAAACACACCAAGACAGTTTTCTGAAATGTAATCAAACATTGAAAAGAAAAATATTTTTCTAGTTTCAAACACACCCTAAATGTAGTTAGGGGTGAGCAACGGACATGTTCAGGCGGAGCGAGTTCACAGTTGGTCACCCCGAGCGAATTTCGGTTTGAATTTTGGAGGTCTAATCTGTTGTATTTTATACACAAACCCGTCGAATATATGACCGACTTAACTCGGCGGATATCCAATTAATTCACCGGATGGTTCACTTTTGTAATAAAAAAAAATGTAACTAGAAAAATATAAAATTTACTTAACTATTACTCATTTACTTTATTACACATTTACATTTTACAATACATCAATACATTTATACATCATACAAAGTTACACAAATTCAAACTTTAAACTTCAAAGCATAGTTAAACTTAAACACTTAATGAAATTATTTTCTTCTAAAGCTTCCACTCACTATCAATGAAATGTGCACTTATGCACATGTAATTTATTCTCTGGACTGAGGTTCAAGTATCAGTGGTGATACTGACCATTTGACTGCTAGTCTTAAAAAACTTTCTTCAAATTCACCCTCCCATCATAAAAGATCTTGAAAATGTCCCTACTGATAGTTTATCTTGAAGGGACTTTAAACCTAGGACTGCAAACTAAATCAAACTTCCTAAATCCTCAACAATCCTAAAAGGGAGTTCATCCACAATAATCATCTTAGCTAAGGCTCTCCTTATCAAGTCTTGATCAAACATCCAAGTTCTCAACACCCCTTCAGTGCCTTCATTACTTTGAGTTCCAACCGAAGAAAGGACAGGTTGGAATGTCAGCAAGGACTGCCTCTTATCCTTAGAGTGAAGATTTTTAAGGCAGCTTAAGATGTGATTTCTCAGAGAAGAAGTCACATGTTTATTGGACTCACATGCAAACGACTTTACACAATATAAACATTTTGCTTTGATAACAGAGCCTTCATTGTTTTTTATTTTTTCAAAGTGATCTCATACATGAGATCTGGTCTCAACCTCTTTCATTTTCTTTGGAACAGGTGGAGGCAAAGGTTGATGAGAAGTACTTGTCTCTACAGCTTGGGCATCCACCTTAGGTTGACTTCCTGACAGACCACTAATACTTTCCATCTAAAAAGGGGAAAGTATTAGTGAATGGGGAATCACTCATTCTCAAATCATCAACAATTATGGACACAGGCATCAAGCATGCACATTAGCACATAATTACTTAAACAGACAAAATTAAGAAAAATTCAAAATCAGACACTTGAAAACAGTTCATCATGCATAATATAGATTTAAGTATTTCACAATTCATAGTTAGCATTTAGCAATTTAGCCACCTAGAGGCTTTATTTCAATTTAAGGGTCATATATCCATAAACTTACAAGTTATAAAATTCAGAATCAAACACTTATAAAAGTTCGTAATGTATGAATTTTATTTAAAGGCTTCCACCATTTAAGGAGCCATTAAGGCTTCTACCATTTAAACTGAAAATTTCACATATTACATATAAACACAGAGACATATCTGATATCAAAGTAAACTGGAGATTTCACAGATTACATATAAACTCAAAGACATATATGATATCAAAAGTAAACTAGAAATATCACAAATTACATATAAACTCAGGAACATATCTCATATTTGATATAAAAGTAAACTGGAGACATCACAGATTACATATAAACTCAGGGACATATCTGATATCAATGTAAACTGGAGATTTCATAGATTACACAAAACATAAATGATAAAACTAGGGTTTTCATAATTTTACAAAATCACATATGAGATGACATATAATATCACATAATGACATAAATATTAAATAATACACAAAACATAAAGTGATAAAACTAGATTTTTCATAATTACGTTGTTTATTCAATCAATCCCCGGAGAACAAGGGCTTCGGATTTCAACACAGTTACACAGGTCACCGGAGCAATGACTACGACCTATCTAGGGTTTCCACCAACAGTCACCGAGCCACCAGCTACGACCTAGAGCTTCCACCAGAACTCTAGAACGTAGGTCACCGCCTCAAAGTCACCAGACCACTCAAAAGTTCAAAACGAAAGACGACCTCAAACTCTCAAAGTGTAAAACGGACTAACAGAGAATGAGAGAACTGAGAGATGAGAAATCGCCCAGAACTCGAAGACGAGAACTGAGAAGAGACTAGAGAGAATCAGAGAAATCACAGAGAATGGAGAATCGGAGATGGCGAACAGGTGAAAAACGAGAGAAGTTACCAGAAATCAGAAGAACAAGAATAGAGAGTGATCGAGAGACTGAGAGATGCGACTGTACAAATTAGGATGAACGTCGTGTAAGGTCGTTTATATACTTAGCGTATACGACGTCGTATAGCATACCCCTACAGAAACCCTAAGCTAGCTCGGATATTCAGACGGGTCAAGTAGGATTATAGTACACCTAATTCGAAGTCAAATATCCGCCTTTCATTGCATTAGCCGGTTCAATTAGTCAACTCATATACAACTCGTTTTTGTTGTCGGGTTCGGATCGGTCGGGTATCCACCTGTTGGGTATTGCACGGATCGTTATGCTGTGCATTCGTATGCACCATGCATGGTGCATACGGATGCAAAAACGACGTCATTTTATTAAAAACGCGCATCCCACTTAAAAAAAAAAAAAATTCAGTTTCGATTTTCCTCAACAGCATTATGTTGTTCATTCATTCTGGAATTTTTTTTTTTGAAAGTTCATAGATTCTGGAATTTTAGTTCATAGATTCTGGAAATTTAGTTCATTGATTATGGATATTTAGACGTGAATCGAAACCGATTTTTTTTTTCATTCATGCTGGATATTTAGTTCATTCATTATGGATTTTTAGTTCATTCATTATGGAATTTTAGTTCATAGATTATGGAATTTTAGTTCAAACCATACACAATATAATGTTGTTGCTTGGAATCAAAACTGATTTTTTTTTTTTAAGTGAGACGCGCGTTTTTAATAAAACGGCATCGTTTTTGCATCCGTATGCACCATGCATACGGATGCACATCATAATTTGCCGTATTGCACACTAGTTACTCCGTATTAAATTCGGGTTCCTTAACCCGAGCCATTCACAACGAACTGGTAATACAATTCACAACTTTCTCTAACAGCCCTTAGAATGAGCGCTTAGCAGTCGAGTCTCCATTCTCATGTACAGTACCTGTTTCCGGCATTCTCTTAGCAGCGTATGCCTCTCATCCGATCTGCCATTCAGATCACATTCTCCCTAACCGGTAAGCTCTATGTCTTGAAATCTTTGTTTGTAATTTGTTTGCATGTTGGCTTTTATATACTCGTAGGCGGTAGGCACAGTTTAATCGCAGAGTTCTTCTCTCCTCCTTTTTGTTGATTACGAATCTTTGCTTGCGGACGCAGTGAAAATTTCCAGATCTATATCAAATGCATTGAAGATTTCGTTTTTTTTTTTTTTTTTTTTTTTTTTTTGAGGTGGTGTAATTTTAGGTGTCATTTGGATTTCCTAATTTCATTTAAGTTGAGCTAAATTTAAAGAATATGCGTGCCATTTATCTTTACTATCATGTTCTTAGGCTGTCAGAGTGATTTTGTTACTAGCAGTGCATCTTTGGGCTGAATGATTATGAAGTATGCTTAGTTATGATATATGACATAATAAATGTCTATTCGGAGCATCTCTGGCAAATTTTACATTTTTGTGTTCTATAAGCGTTTGAGTTTGCTAAAAGCAAATAAATTAGGTTTATGCCTTCCATATCATTATATCACAGAAATTGTTTATGCTAACTCGCATCTTCTTTGTTAGGGCTTTAGCATTTACTTCCTGTCTAATTAGATAGTAATATCGGGAGAAGAAGGAAGATAGCAATCTTGTTTCGCGCACCAGTCCTTTGTCTTTTCATTTGACATATTAATTATGGAGTATTTGGTGAAGCATATATCCTGTGTTCTATTGTGCTGTGTAACATACTAGCAGTTCCTTACAATACACTTCAAAAAAAAAAAAGTTTGCTACGGTGGGGGATTTCCTGAATTAGTTTGTGGGTTATATCTGAAGTTTTCGTATATTCAAAATAAAATTCCGGTGATACCTGAACTTAACCAAATTGATGCCATCCCACCCTCCAAAATCTACCTATCCATATTACCACCACTACAGAATGATCACTGCTAAATATCCAACTTTTTGTTTGCCTGCCCTCATTATCCACAATTGCCCATACCATCTAGTACAAGAGCTTGGATATGCATATTTTGTTTGATTGTCACTGTGACTTTTAAGTTACCCAAAAGTAGTGTCATTTGAAATAATTTTAGGTCATGATTTGGTTAAAATTAAAAGTAACAATCTGAACTGCAAACTTGATCCAAAGCAGATAATACAAAATTTACGTAGATATATGAATTTTGAATCCCATTATTATTTGCAATTTTATATCGTATCCTGATTTCATTTACTTCAATATCAAAACTATATTTCAGTTAGATTTTTAGTTTACTTTTTATATATAAAATCTTTTTGATATTCAAATCCAAAAATAAATCAGATTGGGCCTGATTTGATTTGAGATCCAACTTTGTTCATACTAGTTTGACTTACCATTTACGTTCATATTTTTCTAGGATTTTTTTAATTTTTTTTTTTCAAATGAGTTCATATTTTATAAATGGGAAATAATTCAATTTGAACTTCTTCTTTTTTTTTCTCAAATTTCTAATGGAAAATGAGAACTTAGAAAAATTTTGAAGATGGAGAATGAAATATATGTTTTCTAAATAATCACACCCTAATAAGACTGCATTTTCCTTTCACTTGAGTCCAACATTTTGCATATTTTTCAAACTGTCTGATGCTATGAAGTTCATCTAATTTTGTACATATGTATAATGCCATATATGATTTATTTGATTTTTCAACTGCATACTATGAAAATATTAAATATCCTTGTGGTTTTGTAATTTGGATTTCATATACAAAATGTAGGCAAGAAGTTGGTGAATAATAACTACACAATAAGATGCCTGCACAGAAGATTGAAACAGGTCATACTGACATAGTACATGACGTATCCATGGATTACTATGGAAAACGTGTGGCAACAGCTTCGTCTGATGCAATGATCAAAATAACTGGTGTGAGCAACAATTCTACTACGCAGCATCTTGCTACTCTAAGTGGTCATCATGGTCCAGTTTGGCAGGTTGCTTGGGCACACCCCAAATTTGGTTCACTCCTTGCTTCCTGTTCCTATGATGGTAAAGTCATAATTTGGAAGGAAGGCAACCAAAATGAATGGACACAATTTCGTGTTTTCAGTGAGCATAAATCATCGGTCAATTCTATTTCTTGGGCTCCCCATGAACTTGGGCTGTGCTTGGCCTGTGGATCTTCCGATGGATGTATCTCTGTTTATAGTGCCAAGCCGGATGGTAGTTGGGACACCACAAGAATCGATCAGGCACACCCTGTTGGAGTAACTGCAGTGTCATGGGCTCCTCCGATGGTTCCCGGTGCTATAGTTGGCTCTGGTTTACATGATCCTGTTAAGAAGCTTGCATCTGGGGGCTGTGATAACACAGTGAAGGTGTGGAAGCTCTGCAACGGCGTTTGGAAGATGGATTCTCTCCCGGCCCTTCAGAAGCACAGTAATTGGGTGAGGGATGTCGCCTGGGCACCCAACTTGGGGCTTCCAAAATCGACAATTGCAAGTGCTTCCGAGGACGGGACTGTTGTTATATGGAGTGTGGCAAAAGAAGGAGATCAGTGGGAGGGGAAGGTTTTGAATGACTTCAAGAATCCTGTTTGGAGGGTTTCATGGTCTCTGACAGGAAATCTGTTGGCTGTAGCCTCTGGGGACAATAATGTCACGCTGTGGAAAGAAGCAGTGGACGGGGAGTGGCAACAGCTCCCATCTGACCATTAGAATTCTGGTTATGCAGAAATTGTGTTTCATTCACACCTTTTTTTTTTTTTTTTTTTTTTTTTTTTTTAAAACAAGAAATTATTAATTGTTTTAAACCATTCCTGTAATGTATTCGTTTGTTGGTGATGATAATTGATGATAGCCTTACTAATACGGTAATACCTTTTAGCAAAACACCAATCTGGAATCCCCAGGCGAGAACTTGTTCTTGGAGATTGCTCAAATTGTATAAACCCCCCTTGGGTTGGATAAAGATAAACGTGGATGGAAGAGTAAATACTCGAAGCAATGCAGCAGGCTGTGGTGGGCTTGCTAGAGATGATAGTGGCTGCTGGTTAAAAGGTTTTGCACACTGGATTGGAAGTTGTTTGGCAATCACAGCAGAAGCCTGGGATTTGTACAGAGGCATCTAACTGGCGAAGCTAACTGGTGGCACGCATTTTATATTTGAGAGTGATTCGAAGCAAGTTGTCGAGACCATCAACCAGGTTTCAGACCTCCACATTTTGGCCAACAATAGCTTGAGGCGTTGGGCCATTGGCAGCTGATCCTTGTTAACAGAGAACAGAACCAGGTTGCAGACCTTGTGGCTAAGATGGCCCTTTCTCAGCCTAGTTCTACCATATTTGATGATCCACCGGTCAATCTTATAGCAAACTTAGAGAAAAACCTTCTTGTAGGGGTGTGCAAATTTCGGATAATTTCCGGTTAACCGACCGAACCGACAAAATTCGGTTAACCGTTTTCGAACCGAACTTTTTCGGTTCGGTTAATGGTTAAAGGAATTTTAAAACTTCGGTTAACGGTTAATTCGGTTCGAAAGGTCGGTTAACCGAATTAACCGAACGGTTAACCGAAGTTTTTAATATATATATATATATATATATATATATATATATATATATATATATATATATATATAAAATAAATATCAAATTTGAAATTATGGATGTGTGGAGTTTATAATTAATATTTTGTATATTTTGTTATGAATTTATTATGATATGTATTTTATTTTAATTGGATTTATTATTTTAGGTGTTATTTTTAAAATTTTAAATTTTAGCTTTAAAAAGTTCGGTTAATCGGTTAACCGAAAAAAATTTCGGTTCGGTGAATTCGGTAGAGAAAACTTCGATTTGGTTAACGGTTAAAGGAAAAAAAACTTCGATTAATTCGGTTTGGTTAAAACGGTTCGGTTAACCGTTCGGTTAACCGATTGAACACCCATACCTTCTCGGCTGTGCTGCATGGCGGCAATTGTAATCAAACCTTATTAATCCAAGTGCATATTCACAATACATTGTGAACCGCGATCCACAGTATAATTTGCCGGAGCAGGCCGCAGCTGCCCGCCCTGCCGGACCATTTTAACAATATAATATAATTAAAAATAATAATAGTAAAATATACAGTAAAACTTTTTAAAAATAAAATAATATCCAGGGACATTTTAATATAATTATTCAGTGTAATTAATGATTAATAATAAAATTAACAATAAAATAAAATAAAAAGTAAGCATGACAAGGGAACAAAAAAATTTGAATTGAAATTTTCAAGTTTGGAATATCAGCACTTTTACTATACTATTTTGAACTTTGTGATCACTGTTTTACATATATAGCAGAATGTTTAGATAAAACAACTCTTTCAGCTCTCAGGGGCCATAATACAATAATAAGGTGTTACAGAAGGAGCTCAATGGAGGATATTTGGCCATCCCACATTGACACAAAAAAGTAAAATGAACAACTCAAAATCATCATTATCATCATATTTACAAAACCATGGCTTAAATGCCACTGAAAAGATGTTAGAAATTACAAGGCACTCTTGCTCCCAGACCATTTTTTGTCTGGTCTGAAGACACCACTGTGGTCAACTTGCACCCCATCTATCAATATATCCAACCAAAATATTGGCCAAGGGAGCTTGCTTTGTGCATATAGACAGACAGTAGACAGGCAGACCAGATCCACAACACAAGAATCGTATATGAATTCCTTCTATTGGAAGGGAAGGATAAACTGTACTGCCTTGATCTTCTACAGGGCATGGGCATCCTTTCGTAAAGAAGATGCTAGAAAACGGTGGAACCGTTCCACTCTAGCTTGGTTATGGTATGATGATCTCCCAACTTTTGTCTTTCTCTTCTTCCCAAAACGGAAAAAGAAGTCCTCTGTATCAAGTACATACGATATCTGCAAAGCAGTTGTGTATCTATCAAGTTAGAAAACAGAATATTGAACAACCAGTGGTTAATTAGAAAAAAAAAAAAAAAAAGTAAATTGTATCATTAACACAGTGGTCAAGTTAAGTTTTTTGGTTCCTAGTCTTTGAAGTTAAATTTAAGCAAACTTTTACAACTTCAGTGTGAAGACAACTGGAAGTTGATTACCTTGGATGAATGGGAAGTCATCTTACACTCCAAACCATTTACAATAATAACATTTTCCTTAGCCATGCACAGAGCAGAATATCCTTCAAGGTTGGCGAATTTCCTCTTGTTTCTGCCCCAAAAAATAAACATCACAAATTCAAAATAATTATGTTCAAGTGTTCAACAATCAAGTAGTATGAAGCTTCTAATCTTGCAGTTACTTAAAAAAGCAAGGAGTGTTCAAAAAGCAAGCATGAATAAGCATAATAATCTCCACCTGAATAAGAGGTCTGCATCATAACTGAAACAATTTGGCAAAAAAAAGCATTGTTCAAACTTCTTTTAATGAAATATAGAACCAGACATCAACTTAAGACAGTGCAGGCAATGACATGAAACAGATATCAAGGTGCACCACATGAATAATCCAACAGTGGAACAAAACAAAAAACAAACTCCAACTGCGTTTTACTTTATGTATCACTGCATTCCTAAACTAAATGCTGGAAGACGATATACATACCTCTTGAGCATAAGAGTAGACGGCTCCCTTTTCCCATGTTCTAGTGAAAGATAATCATTATGGAGATAACTTGCAAAATTAGGATCTATAGATACAGCCACAACTTCAGACTTCTCATTTCCATCATCCATCAATTGGATGGACATGCTGGTTGGGTTAGATCTCTACAAGAAGAAGCACACAATAAGTCAGCACTCCTGGGCACTTCTAAATATGGCACAATACCTCTGCTCACTACAGGGACTTTTTCATTTCTCCTTGCTGACATTTATTTCCTTTCCTTATCTTGTGGGGTGTGCATGTCATAATTTGTTGAGGGTGGTGGTTGGGGGAAGAGTGAGGGGGGGAGGGAGGAGGAGGAGGAGGAGAGAGGAGTAAAGTTGCAGGGAACATACGCTTTCAATACGGTAAATGTTCTCCTCGTTAAGAAGAACATGAGCATTCTCATAGTAGACGGAGTCGATGTACTTATCAAGTTTTCTAGATTTTTCATACTCGTGTAATTGCAGAAGCTTATTGTCCAGCTCATCAGTAGAAACAGCTTGTAACTGAATGGAAAACAAACTGTGCATAAGTTTTGCTCCCAAATAAATAATCATGCAGCAAATTTATCCAAAGAATTATGTTTAGAGACTTTAGACTACCTGTTTGACCAGCTTATATATCAATTTGTCCAGTGTAAAAAGCTCATAAGACTGGTTTCCAATTATTGACCGACAATCATCCTCAAACTTTGCATTATCAGCAGATCCATCAAGCAAACTGTACAATGAACTCATAAATCTGCACAGGTAGCATATTCACTCAAAGATTAGTAACCAAATGGTAGTTCTGAGTCAAGACTACAACATAAGGCACATCTGATGGACCTGGCATATGGATCAGAACTATTATCCTTTCCAGTTCTCCGCTTTGATTCGGAGGATGCTGAATTCAGCTTTGCTGACAGTAGCCTCTCATACAATATCTGGAAGAACAAACAAAAAGGAGAATATTGCACATGAAGTGTGGGTTAGCCAATTTAGTGGTTCGTACAAAAGCTCATTGGCTATTGCAGTAGTTAAGTAGTTAATTCTGTTTGTTGTTACATGTGCATGTATTGGGGGTGGTCAAATGATTGAAAAGTAAAAAACAAAATGTTACACCAATATCATCAAAAACAAAAGACGGAGAGCATGTATACTTACTTGGTGAAGCCTAAAAAGCACATAAAAGTTGTCATTCCCATAAAAAACGCGTGGATATTTCTTTTCACTCCCATATAATGATGACACCACATTCTTTGTTAGAGGCTTGGATCTAAGCAGAATACGTTCAGACAGTGGCAATGATGAGTTATCTCCAATGAAATGTGCTTCACTCATGCCTGCAGCTTCACCTTCACTCTCAGCTTTGCCATCAGCCTCATCGTGTTCTCCATCTTCCTCTTCTTCATGTTCTTCTCTAGAGCACTCATCAGCAGCAGACTCACTGCCTGAAACATCATCACCAGCCACGGAAGCATTTTCGCTATCCTCATCATCGACATCTGCATCATTTTCACATGCAGCATCCTGACAAGTACCTTCAACAGCCATTGTTTGGTATGGCCTGTTCATATCTTGTGGAGCACCATCTCTATAGCCAATAAAATTTTCCTCTTCAAGATCACCATTAGGTGATAACTCACCCTCTTCCTTCTCATTTTTTGAGGGATTAACAGAATCAGCATTATATCCATTCACTCTAAAACCTTCTGCAAATCCCCCACCATTTACTATAGCAGTACCACGTGAACTGTCACCACCCTATTGCATGAAGGAGAAATTGAAATATCAAAAAGTAGTAACCAAGAATTCAACACCAGTCAAAAGTCAAAACTTGAACCAGTTGTCTGCTCCCATACCTCTGATGCTGGTATGTCGTCAATATTAGACTTGTTTCCATGACAATCCTCAATGGTACCATTACCAGGCCTTGCACTACGTGCTGCATGATATAAAACAATGCATTTAGCATAGTAATGAAGAAACTCAAGCCATAAAGCAACATATGAATCATATAAGCTTGAATATATATCATGCACCAATGTCAATTTACATAATGGACCATAACAAAGATGCATCACAGTTGAAAATTGAAATATGTACCAACATTCCAATCACCACCTGTGGTTCTTCTAGGTGGTCCAAGTAGAAGAAGCTTTGTTCTCCATAAACAAGGTCAAGGTTAAAATGGCGTAAACAGGCTTCAAGGGGTTTTGTATTGAAGAGGCAAGGCATAAGCCTCAAAATAGACCCCTAAATAATTAAAATTAAAATATGTAATACACACACACACACACACACACACATATGAAATAATGTTATTATCAATTTTTAATTATATTAATTATATAATTAATATTTGAGATTGTTGTAGAGTTCTACAATTCTAACTCTTAGTTTCCAGAGATTCTAGAGTGTTTAATTAACATCTCCTGTCTCTTAGTCTTACAGAGTAGTTCAAACTATTAATATCCTTGTCTCCAGAGTCCCCAATCAAGGTCCAGTTGCCCAACCCACACATTGACACCTCAAAAGCCGCCCGATCTAGCCCACACATTGACACCTCAAAAACTATCCTGAGGCACATGCAAGGCATGCACGGCATCTGCACAAGGCATACACCCTTTGTTCTGAGACAAGGGGTAAGGCATCACCTCCGACTGAAGAGAGCCTCAAAACAGCCTTTATAAACATTAAACAAGGTCTCAAGTTCAAGCCTTGTTAAGGGAGCAACAGGGGCTGGGAGAGCTCCCTTATGCAATCCAACAATAGCTCAACTCTAGATTAATTATGGCCTAATGTGGCTACCAAATACCAAAAGGTCTCTGACCACAGAACAAATTTATTTAAAAAAAAAAAAAAAAAAAAAAAAAGTCCAAAATATGTTGTACCAGTAGAGTCCATATTCATTCTTCCATGAATACCATCTTCTCCCATCACATTGCCAGCATCAGAATTACTTAAGTGTTCACTAGTTGCTGTTAATCTATCTTTAGCCAAAACATCTGCATTTTTCAAGCTAGCCTTTGTAGAACTCAAAAGTTGGGGAGAATTATTTGCATCTCCAATGCAGATAACTTTTGATTGCTTGGAATTTTGTGTTGCTGCATCACCATTAGGAGTTCCATCACTTTCACCAATGCTTGTTGCATTGCATTTTATTGCACAATGCTTTAAGGAAGCATCATCTTTGATGGCCTCTGAGCCATGAATGCGAGATGGAACTCCTAAGATTGGCTCAAGGAAGGAGGTCCAGAGCTTCATTACTTTATTTAAATGTTCCTTTGTTGAGCAAACCTCTTCACATGAATAATTTATAAGTTTGTATATGTCTTCATGGATCTCAAGATCAGCATATTCAAATTCAAGGTTTGGACTTAAGGGATGTTTACTGCCAGCTGCTATAGCAAGAACCAGATCATCATCTTTCTGCTTGTTCTCCTTAATCTCCTTTATTTCCGCCAAGAATGCTGCCCATCCATCACAAGCAAAGAGATTATCATGAATACGCAAAGGCATCAACTGAACTGAAGATGTTATATACTACTTACAAATTGAAACAAATTCATAGAAGAGACCTTACAAAAACCAGTAGGAATTACACCAACAGTAAACATAACCCTAAATGAACAATATCCTTTAGGCAGAGAATTTCTGAATTGACAAATTCCTAGATGAACTATATAGGCCAAAACAATTTGAGTATTTGCAGCCAAACCTAGATGCAAGCATACTATAATATTAGAAGAAAAAATAATTCATTTCTGAAAATGAAAAAGGATGAACTTTAGGTTTATGTTTTCAGTTCTGTTGAAGAAGAAACTAAAGCATTAACATATTTTTTGTTTCTATTTTTCTATTAAAGTAATGGTGAGTTGGAGAAGTTGAAATTAGATGAAAGGTTAGGTACACTGAGTTGCTTGGGAATGCAAAGGGAGATGATGGGGAGAATGTGGTAACTAGGCTAGGGGGAGTGATTAGTAAAGCTTGGATATGTGGGAAAGGGTAATGCTGAATTGAAATTTAGTCTAGTTGTGATGGCTATAACTAACTGTCAGTATCTAGAGGATCATTGACACAAGCATGAAAAACCACATTGAAAAACACAACCAAACACCAATTATCATGCAAACAAACAAATGCTCAACTTACATTTTGTGCTCAAGTTCTTTGAATCTTGTTGCTTGAAATAGAAGCTACGATGGTCAAGCGATTTGTAATGGTTCTTTGCATAGATTTCAGCCCAAACTTTGTTGAAATCTACACGACACTTGGTCCACTCCTCCTGTTTCTGCTTTAAGCGGGTCAATATAACTGGTAATGCAAGTGATGGATTTTTATGCAAAATGTCCATTACATCCAGACCATGATCGCCATAAAGACGTTCAATGCATCTTAAATTTAAGGCTGCAAAAATAGGGAGCAATAGAACAAACTTAATCAGCAAGTTCTACAACCACAGGTTTTCAAAAATGGAACTAAAGTAGAATTGTGATCCACAGCACTCAAGAGTATATTTTCAGTTCAAAATTACTACACCTGTAAAGTGATCCTCAATACGGATAGGGCTATCTCCACCGATTTTGTTATCATTAATGGCATTTAGCAACTCATCTGCACGCTTAGCAGTTGAACTCACAGATTCCAGCAGCATGTCTAGCTCAAATCTGAGATTATCAAGCAATACAATAGTATTCATGGCAAAAACAATAACACTACTAGTGTTTATGAAATTATATAAAAAGGCAGCATGCCATCCCCTTTTCCTGTCTTTTTTTTCTTAACAGAGCAATGTCAAATCATTTTACCTGTCATCTTCACATCTAAACAGACTTTCTTCATACTGATTTCTGCGCATGTGCTTGAAAGAGTAGTCCTCGCTTCCAGACGTCACAGACACCCAATGATCATTTAAGACTTGAGCTCCAAGCTCTGATCGCTGACTCACAGTAGGTATTGGATACTGCATGATACACATTTAATATATTGAGATTAGCATGTGTAACTAATGAACTTTTCTTTCCCCCTTTATCAGAGGCACTATGCAAAACAAGTCACTGCAAGATCTAGAAAGGGTTGCACTTTTAGCCCAAATTTTGGGAGAACACAAAAAGTGTCCATTTTCAACCAACATGGGTGGGTCACTTTTAAACTACATGTTAATTTTGGACATGTCAGAATGAGTTGTGTAAAATTTCAACTCATCCAACCTTAATTTTTTTTAATTCATATTAACATAGGGTCCATCAGTAACCCAACTCTGGAATGAAATAATGTACCAAAAAATATTAACATATGATGTTTCTTCAGTACTATAGTGTTATGTGCTCCCATCATGGGCAAGAAAACATAAGGAAAAAGGAAGAAAGAATAATAGTTGGAAAAGGAAAAGAAGAAAACACTGGGTTTGCTTGAGACCCAAAACTCCCTTAGACCCTTTTTGGGATTGAATTTCTGCTCTCCTCTTTATTCTAAATAACACTCCCTTTTATAGGCCTGACCGGCTGATTACAAAGATTCCTAAACTAAGAATGATTAATTATTTGGTAGTTTCTAAATAATTAATCTACCTAAACTAATTCGAAGACTAAGAGTAATAAGTTAAATAACTATTTAGTAATTTCTAAATAATTATTTAGTAGTTTCTTAATATCTAAACTATGTAATGTAATAGTAATAAAATATGACTTCCTCAGCAAGTATCATATACTAATTTTAGTTTTCATTCACAATCACTGAATCAAGTTTGGATGAAAAAATATCAATATTGAAAGCAGGCCCAAACACTTTGACTAAGGTTAATTCGTGAAAACCAGTACACTTATTATCACCCACAAAAAACCTGTCCACTGCCAACTCATATGATATATACATAAGCAAAGATACTACAGTAAAAGGGAAAAGAACATGTATAATAGTTTCTTACATCTTCAGGAAGTAGCCGATAACTGGGAGTGCAACGTTGACAGTCAGAAAGGTCAAGTTCTTGGATTGACTTTCCCCAGTATTTCTCCTTGAATTGGTCCTTCTCCTTACTACTATCTATTTCACGCTTGTGCTCTTTGTCTTTCTCCTCCAAGTTTACTGATTTCACAGTATTTCCTTCAGTCCATAGAGATTCTGTTATCAATGAAATCCCACATCAGACTATGATGAAAAATGTTACAATGTGAATATGCCTGTTGTACAGCCACTCTTTTTTCCTTTTCAATAGAAAGAGATAACTGCCACTTACTTTTGTTCACAACACCAACCAGAAAGCCATCTGAAAAACATGCATTAATTAGCAGGGAACTGGAAAAAGGCAACTACAGTATAATACTCACATTAAGATTTCTATATTACCAACTTTCTCACAACGCTCTAAAAATTCATTGAAACCCTCCATGAGATCAGGATGCTTTCCAAGTAAATCAGTAACCTGAAATAAGAAACTTCCAAATTATTGGTGACTAAATCAAACAAAACCAGCAATCAAATCTACCTTTCTTCCTCACAATTACAACCACGGTGGGGGAACAACTTTGGAAAAGAGAAAATGATGTGGTTCATTTAACAGTAGAAAGTAAAAACTGTCGGGCAACACATCTATTTGCATGGATGAAACAGAAAAGAAATTTAAATCTGTTATGGAATATATAAGTAATATGGAATCTATATATATTAGGCAGCTTGCAGATTTAGGGTGTTGAGTAGGTAGTCATGGAAACTTGTTTCCTTATTAAAAGTCTTCTAGCATGTATTTATAGGGCTGTGTATTCTCTTTTCAATAGACAACTCAATACAACTTATTCAGAAACTCTCTCTTTACTTTCATAACATGGTACCACAGCCTTAACAATTATTTAAAAAAAAAAAAGTCGCTTTTGCTGTGGTCGCCGCCCACCTAGGGAGGAGTGTCGGCATCCGGCGACCACGCCTACGAAATTCGGCTCCAGTCTAGGCAGCGCACGGCGCCACCATCACTCGCGGCCACTTTCCTCACGCGCCCGCGTGTACGGCTCCTCCAGCGGTCGGAAATTTTTTCGTCACCTATTCCTTGGTCACCACCTAAGTCCGTTTGTTTCGGTTCTAGACTTGGTTTGGACTTTGGACCATTGCGGCTTCTGTGATTATTGCTCTACGGTCAGGTTGTATCGTACACCTTCAGGCTCCTATTTTGTGTGCTTTGTGATCTGTTTTTGGTGGATACGGCTGAGAATAAATCTGTTGTCGTGATTGATATTGTTCCTGTGACTTCCAAAATCACAGACTGTAAACTTAATGATTATAATTTTCCGTTGCTTGTTTTCTTGTTGTCTCTCCTTTTTATGTTCATTGTCGTTTGGGGCTTGCTTCCCTTCCGTTGGTAAAGTAATTTGGTCCTCCTTTTTCATATTCGTCTTCTTTACCTTGTGTGTCCAAGCTTGAACAGTCCACTTTGTGTTCACCCGATGTTTGTCCGTGGTATTGGTGGCGTCCAAGCTTCCGTTTCAGGGGGGTGTCCAATCCCAAGCTTGTTCGGTCCACTTTGAGTTCACCCGGCTGGCCGTGGTATTGGTGACGTCCAAGGCTTTCGTTTCAAAGGAGTGTCCTAAATGGGATTTGAGTTAGTTAGTTATTTAGTTATTTTTGGGTTATCAGATATTTGTGTAGCAAGTTGGGCATGATTAATATCTATGCTCCAACTTGAGGGGGAGTAGGTAGGCATATGGAAACTTGTTTCCTTATTAAAAGTCTTCTAGCATGTATTTATAGGGCTATGTATTCTCTTTTCAATAGACAACTTAATAAAACTTATTCAGAAACTCTCTCTTTACTTTCATAACAAAATCCTTCCAAAATCTTAAACATACTATGAAATCTTGTTACCAGTAATGAGAGAAGTTTAGTGAGCAAAGAAATGCACACATCTAGTCAAAATACAATTCAACATAATAAGATAAAAAGCAAATGTTAGTTGTTAGCACCAAGAATTGTCAAGCAAACAAAGACAAAATGAAAATAATACAACCCTCTACTAACATAAGATGTATCCAACACACCAATAGATCCATGAGGAGAAAAAGAGCATCAGCCCCATGTTATTTCCAATATGTAAATATAAGGAAAAGACAGACCAAGAAAAGATTGTTTCTAACTTTCTATATGCCAATATCTATCATGTATTTAATTTGCCTTTTAGCTATCACATATTAAAATGTTGTTATTCATTAGTGTTAAACCCAAACTCCAAAGTAGCACAATAACAGGCATTCATCATTGTCAAAGAAATAGAAAAGTACAAATTAAAGAGTGTGATTCACATACCAAACTTTGTAGCTCATCTCTTGTAATTATTTCTGTGCTGTAGATATTGAGACAATGTAAGAACGCGTTGTATTCCTTTGAACTGCAGAGTCTTTCCTTCACCCTTTCACAGAAAGTGAATTCCTGGCTATACATACCTAGGACAATAGTATGAAATGTGTTAAGATGTGTAAACAAAGAGACCTAAAGGTAAAAGAGGGGAGTGAAATTAGCAATAAAAATATGGTGTAGACAAAATAAAGAAACCCTAATATTAAGAAGTTAAAGAGAAAACACTACATCTGAGACCAGAATTACAGTAATAAGGCAAATGAAAGGGGCATAGAAAATCTCTTCCTTACCAAGTTGCATTGAACATTAAAGTGAGGGCTGAAATTAATAAACAATTTTATCAAGTAAGAATTATTCACTTACTTCTCAAGGCATCTTTATCCTCATAAGATGCCAAAGTGTTGTTCCCTCCCAGTTCTTCCACCTTCTGAGCAGATTTTCTTTTCTCGATATGATGGTGAATACTTATATCTCCATTGTTCTTACTCTCTGGTTCTCTACAATCATGATCACGATTTCTCCTGTCCCTGTTCTCCTTTTCAGAATGCCTCACTTGCTCTTTGTGCATCTTCATCGTTGATTTATCTGCATCTACATCAGTTCGCTCAACACTATGACCACACTCTCCATGAGGCATAGAGACTCGTTCCCGTCGAAAACGCTGCTGCATATAACATTTACTATAAGGAAACAAATAATACCTATGAAATAATTCAGAAAACATGTAAAATGAATAAACACCTTGTCCAGATGTGATGGACGAAGGTTAGGCATGGCAGATATCCTCTCATCAAAGCGGTGAAAAGACTGCTTGGCAAAAGAAGGCTGTACAGCTGATGCAGTTACTGAAGTATCTGGCAAAAAGTTAGTGAATTCGCTGAGTAAGTCGGGGTGTTGTTGGAAAAGATACGCTACCTGCATAGTAAAAAAAAAAAAAAAAAAAAAAGTAGCAGTCAACACTAACAATTAAAACTAAAAAAAGGAAACAACTAGCATAATTAATCATACAAGTCAAAAGACATTATTTACCTCCTGGTACACCTCAGTAATGCTTTTGTGCTCTTTCCGATACATATTCAAGATGTCTAGGAAAGATTTGTACACTTGATCATCATTTTGGAAACGCTTCTGCAAGAAACAGAAGCCCAGTGTACATCAATCACTTGCCTTTTATTCAGTTAAAATCAACAGGACATTTTTACTACAACTCTAATAATGTTACCTTTATCTTGTTCACAAAGCTTATAGCTTCTTCAAACTCAACAGTCCTTTTTTGAGGAACCACTTCCTCCTCAGTAAGGGTTATTTCATAACCTTTTGGTAAGAAGGTGTTGAACCCAAGAATTAAATTTGGATGTCCTTTGAATAAGTCCTTCACCCTCACAATGACACCAGCAGTATCAATTCTGCAACCAAAGAATTCAACAGAATTATACCATAAAATGAAAGGGAAAATATTCTTTATTTTATAAGCATCTCAAATAAAATAATTCACTGAAGGATAATGGAATACCTTTGAGCCTTAAAATCTTTCATAACATCAAGAAACATGTCATACTTCTCCCTTTGATCCTGGAACATGTCTTTAACATCCTTCAAATAAGTTAATGCATCATTGGTGGTGAGCTTCTGGGTACTACCAGGGACACTACCACCAGTTCCTCCATTGCTACCACGGTCACCACCTCCACTTCCAGGGGCTTGAGATTGCCCATAGCTTCATGAAGAGAAACAAGTTGAAAAATAAATAAATAAATAAATAAATATATATATATATATATATATATATATATATATATATATGTAAATCAAAATCATATCAGAAATCCGTTTTCTACAAACTTGACAACAAATCTGTTCTATGTCACATAGGTAAGTCTATTCACTTCTTTTCCAGCAACCATGTAGCACAATAAAGTTGCTGTATAAATTTACTTTAATTCACTTCAAAAACATTTTCATTTGAGTAACTAAAAGTGATATATTCTGTAGTTATCAGCATCCAGTTCATGAAACTTCTTTGCTCAATGAAAGGAAGACCAATGTTGGCATCATTGAGAAAGAGCTCTTCTCATTTGCCAATAGAACTTCAAGTGAAATATTAAAACTAAACACATGATGGGTTAAAACTAAAGAGCCGTAGTGCACAATGATAAAATTTTCTATTTAGCCTTCCACCCTAGATTCTCTCAGCAATCAGACCCAACCAAAAGTTCTACAGATGGAACAAGGGCATCATACACGTTCTGATCACAACCTTAAGCAACTAAAACCCAGTTTATCTACTGAAGATTCCAGTACAATCCAACAAACACCAAAGCACAAAAACTCCACGAAAGGGACTTTTTTACATCAAAACAGCACGATTTACATTTACAAACATGATGAGACCTAAAATCTCGAAAATTGATAACAAGCAAAAACAGCAAAAAGAAACAGGAGGGAAAGAGCTTACGATTCACCCCGCGAAGAGCCAAATGGCTTCTTAAACTGAGGACTACCGCAAACATCATCCCTTAATCTCTTCATGCCTGCACAAATTTTTTAAAAAATACAGAGTAAATAAATTAATAAATCAGCAAACACTTAATAACAGAATAAGATCAACTACAGAAGAAAAGAATTATAGTAACTCAACTCAGAAGTTTTCCTCAGAAAGAAAATCTGAGGACGAAGAAAACAGAGCGCTCAGCAGATCTAACCACCGCTGAAAGGAAAAACAGTTCAATCGTTTGGATCAAAATAAAAAAATCATTTTTTCTCTCATATTTCTCCAACGCTTTACTCTCTCCTCCTTCTCTCTCTCTATAACGCCAAGGAGGAACAAAAACAAACACAACACAAACACACACAGGTTAGGAAAAACACGGAGGTAAAGACTCAAGAGGAGAGAAAAATACAATACAAATTTTTTGTTGCTTGAATTAATAATGTTGATAGTAGTAACAATGTTACGTGAGTCTCAGTTTATATATATGCGCAATTTTGAAAACTATGGGATGGGCTTCTTGCTTTGTTGAAATAAGTAAGCCATCATCTCGTCTGGCGGCGTTTGGGCTAGTCTCTCCTCTGTAGTGGTCCTTCCTTTGTTAGGACGTTAATAGTACTCTGTTCTGTTCCGTTCCACTTGTTGGCCCAATGAATCCTTTAGCTCGAATTTAGGTCACCACTCACCCACTAAGACTCCGGAGTCAAATCTTGGAATGATAATCAACAAACAACAATGCTATAATTTTTGTGTTTTAATGCCTTTTCTTGAGTATTACTCACCAACATGTTTAGTCTTAATTCAATGAGAGAGTTAGTTTTGTTTTTTTTTTTTTTTTTGGGTAAACAGGAGGGACAGACCCAGTGTTCAACCGGTACTTCTTAATGACAGTGCGCGTTCTTGAAAGCTTAGTCGCATCATCCATCAAAACTCGAACGACATGCTTTGAAGGTTTAATCATTTCTACCGAACCAGTGTTTATATTGTACACGTGAACAGTCAAGGCATCTGGCACCAGATTCTGTTCTCGCAGCACATGTTGAAACTCAAGGTTCCAGTTCATGCCTTTCCATCTCTTGTAGCTCTCGACGATATTACCCAGATGATCGTTTAGTTATTTAAAAAAAAAAACAGATCATTTGAATTTATAATTGAAAATTTTACGTCACAAAATAAAACATTTTCTCATGCTCTCTTATTATGATCATCCATCAAAACTCGAACGACATGCTCTGGAGGTTTAATCATCTCCATCCAACCAGTGCTCATATTGTACACGTGAGTAGTCAATGCATTCGACATCATATTCTGTTCCCGCAGCACATGTTGAAACTCAAGATTGCAGCCCATGGCTTTCCATCTCTTGTAGCTCTTGATGATATTACCTAGAGTGTCGTTTAGTTATTTAAAGAAACACATCATTTCCAATGGTACCCGGGTTGGACTTCCATTAGGAAAGTTGTGAGTTCAAGCCTCAATGGAGGCGTTATTAGCTCTTTGTGTTTCAGTAGGTTGAGAAAGTATATGAACAGATACTACAATGTAATAGAGCTAGTAGCATTCAAAAAAAAAAAATCTATAATTGAAAATTTTAAGTTATAAAATAAATCATTTTCTTATGCTCTCTTATTATGAGTATTTTCTATTTTCTAACTCACAGCATAGAAAATTTTAAGTGGTTTAATCACACCTAGTCAACACTTTTTTTGTTACTTTGTACCTGGCCTTACAAAGTTTAATAGCAAACATAGTATTAAGTATTATTTAACCCAACAGGATAGTTTAAGTGGCAAATGAGCTCTCTCACTTTCCACAAGTGACGATTATATAAATTATTTCCTAAATAAATATCAAATTTATATGAATGCGCATCGCACTTAAAAATACTATATGACTATTGAAAAAATGTTAATTTAGTACCTTGACTATGCAATTTCTATCAATTTTGGTCACACCGGCCAAATTATCAGCAAATTATGACCGAAAAAACTTAAGTTAACATATGTATTGAATTGGAAGGGATAAAATAGTCTTTTTTGTTCCTTCTAATTTGGGAAAACGAATTGGACCAATAATGGCAATGGGGCACTGGAAATCGACGACGGCGACAACTCTTCAAGATTCATCCCAAGAAGACATTGGAAACATGATGAAGACGCCAAGCTCAAAGAGCTCGTAGCTCTCCACAGCGCACATAACTAGAATTTCATCGCTCACAATCTTCCAGGAATATCAGGTTTTAATAATTTTTGATTTTTTTTTTTTGTTTGGAAGTATTTTTTTGGGGATTTCGCTAATAATAATGGCGATGAACAATTGAACATGGAAGAGTTGTAGATTGAGGTGGTATAACCAGCTGGATCCGAAGCTAAACCGGAGCACGTTCACGCGCGGATGAGTGTTATTTAACCTAAATATATGCATTATATCTACATATACTAAGTTGTTGGGGTCTTTAAAATCATGTTAGAAAATTGAAAACTAAGTACAAGAGAGAATGTTGGTGACGACTCTTAACGAGCTGAAGATAGGATTTTGGGATGAACCTTGAAGAGTTGTCGCCGTCGTCGACAACTCTTAACGTCCAATTCGTTTTCCCAAATCAGAAAGAGCAAGAAAAGACTATTTTGCCCTTTCCAATTCAATACATATGTTGACTTAAGTTTTTCCGGTCACAAATCGCCGGTAATTTGGCCGGCGTGACAAAAAATGATAGAAATTGCATAGTCAAGGTACTAAATTAACATTTTTGATAGTCAAATATAATGTTGCAATTAACACAATTCCAATAGTTAGTGGACCAAAATTGAAATTTTCTCTTTCTCTCTCTCTCTCTATATATATATATATATATATATATATATATATGTGTGTGTGTGTGTGTGTGTGTGTGTGTGTGTGTGTGTGTGTGTGTGTGTGTGTGTGTGTGTGTGTAGACACACACACTACTAAACATTAAACAAATCAAAATAAAAAATATTCTAATTTCTAAACTAATGTTATCTAGGTTAAATTAGTAGAATATAGAATGATACTATAATATATTTTTTTAATTCATAAAGTTGGCGCTTGGACTAACCCGTATGGTCCACGAGCACGAGGCGAACTGGGGTTGAATAATTCTAGTTCGCAAGTTTCACGGGCCAGCTCACAAAAAATGACAACTTGTGATGGGACAATCGTTATATCGTGCATCAGGGCGCACACTGCATTGTGCGGTCCACTCTGCCCAAAACTAACGCGACATAGTGTGTGTGTGTGTGTGTTCTGTTATACAATTATGTACATTTTGATACAATTGTGTACATTCGAAATAAGAGATTTTTTTTAAGAGTTAAGAATTTATGTGTATTATGTTTATGTTAGATATGTGTATTATCTTTTTTTTTTAAAATATGTGTATTCTGTTATACAATTATGTACATTCAATTATAAATTATGTACATTCGAAACATGGATTTTAAAAAAAAAAATTAACAACAGACACGAAAAATGAAATTTCCAAAAAAAACAAAAAGAGTACAAAACGATGTCGTTTTGCATCAAGGCACACAAATGCAATGTGCACTCTAGTACATGATATAAATTGCGGTGATAGGGTGGGTCAAGTTGCATTGACACCCCTATATAAACGAAGGGATAGGGGGTGTTGTAGGGGTTTGGTCAGCAACTTTTTCAATGTTCAACACTAATCCGCTAATGGGGTGTTTGGTTCACGGAATAGGCCTGGAATGACATAGCATTCCCAGTAATAGACCTATTCCTCTGTTTGGTAACCCCTTGTATTCCCAGGAACATTGTTCCCGGGAATGATCTATTCCCCTTGCAAGGGGAATAGAGATTCCTAGGGGGGCCCTGGTATTAGGCTATTCCTGAGTTCTCGGGAACAGCCTAAAGTTTCTATTTCCTATTTTACCCCCCCCCCCCCCAAATTAAATTTATTTCCTATTTCACCACCGCCACCACCACCACCATCGCCGTCGTCGCCACCGCCGCTACCACCACCATAGCACCGCCACCACCACCGCCGCCGCCACCGCTACCGCTACCATCGCCATCGTCGTCGCCGCCACCACCACCATCGTTGCCACCGCCACCACCACCACCACCACCCCAGCAGCACCACAGCCACCGCCCACCACCGCCGTTGCTGCCACCACCATCGTCGCCGCCACCACCACCATCGCCACCACCACTGCCGCCACCACCAACGCCACTGCCACCACCACCACCATCGCCACAATCACATATTTTTATAAGGGTATTTATGTCTTTTAAAACATATTTTATTTCTATTCCTTAAATCAACCAAACACTGTAATGTAATCGTAAAGTCTATTCCTTCCGCGAACCAAACAATAGAATACAATTTCTATTATATTACTTGCCTATTCCATTCCTTATGGAATAGCATTCCTATTACCTCAAAATTCATTCCGTGAACCAAACGTGCTGTAAGTCTTCTTCATTAGCACAAATGTGTATTGGGCGAGATAGCTATTTGAGCTTGGATGCAAGGTAGATCACTCTAGGGATGACAACAAAACGGGGTGGGAAATGAGGTCCCCGTCCCCGCCCCCGAATTCATTCCCCGCACCTTCAATTCCTATCTCCGCGGGGATTTTTCGAGGACGGGGATTTCACGTCCCGATTTAAAAAAAAAAAAAAATTATACTTGTATTTGACAGGGAATTTTTTTAGGGACACTGTGGGCTTCAAAGGCCCGGGAGCAAAATGGGATCTAATTCATTATAGTCATATTGGGTTTCGAAGGCCCGAAAGAAAGAAATAATTTGATTAGTGGGCTTCTATATGTCAATATTTATAATTTGATTAGTGGGCTTCTACCGCTACACTCGTTACTCGTTACCGTCAATAAATATCCGGGAAAAGAAATGGAGCACCTAGCACTTAGTTCGGAGTTCAAACGGAGATGGCGGGAAGCGATTCGCAGAAGCAACTGCTAACTCTGATTCGTGACTTTGCTTCTGAAAAATCTCAAGGAGGTGATATCGCTAATTTTCATACACTTGACGTTTGAATTTTCCTCTAAAATCAGTTCGAGAAGTAAATGTGAGTGAATTTTTTTTATGATTGGACGACTGAGTTGTGTATACGAATGCTTCTAAACTCGCAGAGCGAAGAATCTCGAATCTGAAGAACCGAATTGGAGAGCTTCGATCCGAGATCGAGGCTGCAACTGCGAGCATCGAAGAAGCTAAGCGGATCAAGGAATCAATAGAGCAAGAGCTTAAAGGATATGAAGTCGAGTTGGCCATGAACGAGGCTTCAATCCAAACCCTGGAGGTCTTTTCAATTCTTCGGTTCTCATTTGATATTTAATTTGTCACCGGAATTTTGTGTTTGTTAGGAAAATGAAATTTAGAATAGTAGTATATGTTTTTTCCCCCTCAAAGTCTTCAAGGTATTATTTGC